GCAGTCCATAATTATATAGTCGAAGGTCATAGCCATGTGTTTATCCCGCATATTCCGTTGAACTTTAATATAGTTTGTTTTAGTATTACAAAAGCAGATATTCAAATAAAGACAAACTCTCGTTTTCATGTGGCTATTTCCATTCGTAAAATGTTTTGCCAAAAATTTTGCGCGGCAATCAAAGCCAGAAACGTTAAAGGTTATGTCAACGAATTAAATTTCTTAAGCGTATCAAAACAATGTACGTGAAAGAGCAAATAAGTACTCCGCATTTTGCATATGATTCTACTCTTTTCTAATTATTTTTTAAAATAAACTTTCAATTTTACATTGTGTATGTATATAATATAATGTAACGAAAGTAGAGTTTAATAATGAAAGAACAGCGACGTTATTAATTAACAAGTTTGCAAACCTTGGGCAAAGATAAGCTTAATAATGTATTTTTTGTGCAGCCAAGGATGAGCATTTACGGCGCAGATTGCAACTCACAGCCAGCAATTTTTGTACGCAGAAACTTCCGAAAGACGCTAATGTCTTCGGGACCATCTCCGGCAGAAAGTTCGATCGCGTTGCAATGGATGAGCGCGAGCTGGAAGAGGAGAATTTTCAGGATAGCGAAGGGTGTGTTCCACGTCGACTGAAGCCGAGCATGGGCCGATACGCTAAGATAATCAAGTTGCATATATCTAAAAAGGACTTGGATTCCGCTTTGAAGGTGCTCGATTTGTTCAAGGAGAACCGCGACAAGCCCACGATGTACATATACAATCTCCTGGTGTACTCGTTCGCCAAGCAGGGTAACGTAAAGCAGTGCTTCAGTCTGTACAACAAGGCGAAGAAGCACGGGTTGCAGCCGAACGCGGCGACCTACACCAGTCTGTTCAATGCATGCTCCTTAGCTGACAACCGCGCGGTAGCTCTGGAGCATCTCAACAGCTTGCGAAAGTCACTTTACGAGCGGCAGTTTTTGCTGAACGACACGCACTACAACGCTATGGTGAAGGCGTACAGCTGGCACGGTCAGGTCCTTCAGGCCTTTCAAGTGGTGGACGAGATGAGAGACAAGCGTATTCCCATCGGGGAGGTCACTTACAACTCCCTGTTCCACGCGGCGATTGCTGACAAGGAGGCTGGTCTGCGCCACGCTCTGATTGTATGGCACTTGATGCACCTGAAGAACATCAAGCCGTCTTTGATAACTTACAATCTGCTCTTGAGAGCGATCAGGGACACCAATTTGGGAAATTTGAAGCCGGACGATGTCCTACTCTCAGGATTTGAGAAGACCAGGATTTCAATGACCGAAGGCGAGAGGCCAGATTTGCTGGCCTCACCGCCCGTTTTCAGCACGTTAGCATTGAGAGAGGAACAGAGCCTTACGCATTGTAATACCGATAGAAATCTACAGAAAGGATCGGTAAATTTGAACGACGTGTTCGCCAAGAATCGTTTGATTTTATTCGGTGGTTTAGAAGGATTTCTGAATCGCATGTCTAACGACAACGTTAAGCCCGACGCCAAAACCATTACGCTGCTCTTGGATTTAATTCCGAACTCGGTACCCGCGGAGAATCTGCTCGTCAAGACCGCAGACGACCAAAATATTCAATTGGATATCGATTTCTTTAATATGCTCATTAAAAGACGCAGCGTGCGATTTGATTACAAAGCTGCAAAGGTAAGCGTTAGAAATTCCTGATTAGTTATTCGAATGTTGTACTGATACGGTTTATTTTAGGATGTCGTGAGCATCGCGGAGAAGAGAAGGCTCTCTCCGAATATAATGACGTTCGGGGTCTTGGCGCTCGGTTGTCAAGAATGCGAGCAGGCCCAAGAGTACCTGCAGGGAATAGAGGCCTTTGGCTACAAACCCAATTCTGTAATCATGGGCACTCTCATCGATACCGCTTGCCACAAGAAAGATTTCAAATTCTTGCTGTTTGTGATGGAATACATGATGGAGAACAAGATTAAATCTACTGATCAGAGCGTTAAAGTCCTAGAGGAGTTTTCGAAAGAATTGTCGCAGATGGAGAAACCGACAGTACGTTGACAAAATTTGCTACAACTATTACAATTGATTCCTTTCCTACGCAATTTAACTGTCAATAAATGAAAGACAGATTTATACACGTATACATTGTTTTTTCTAGGGAAAATACAGGCTTCGAAAACTGAAGCGTTTGGAGGAGAACATGGAGAAATTTGAACAGCAGTTTCCTAAATGGCAAAAAGCGATAAAACGATAATTCGTTGCAAAACGAAATATTATTTCTGCAAAATACAGCCTTTCCAGAAAGAAATTTATATATTATTGTTAATACAATTGATATGTTTTGTAAATATACACATACATGAAACAAAAGGGGGCAGACCGTAGTGAATTAGCGAAGATACGTGGGACGAATTTCTTGCGTCCAAGGTCGACTTCTGGTACCGCTGCTGATAGCACGCGACGGACACGTTCCACGGATGTTGAGCTTGTTGTATCCGGTAGGGCCGGTTGGCTGAGCCCCGCAGGTTTCCAGCGCTACGAATTCGTCCACGTGAAGAGACGGCGGTCTTGACGTGTTGGGCGGCCTCGATCGGAAGGGATCGGACCCTCTGCCCACTCCTCCACCTACTGGACCACCTCGTAGGGAATTGGCGAACTGTGTCCGACCTCGCACTGGCGTTACTAAAAGAATAGAAAGTGGCCAAGTTCTTAGAAATGCTACATAATTGAGCATAAAGACTTTAGTAACTAATTAAAATTTTATTTTACTTTTCAACGTTTTATTTTTACTATACACGAGTATAGAAAAGATAAACCTCACCCATCGAATCCTTACTGATCTTACCAAATGGCTGTTTCGACTTGGCCATCGGAGAGATCTGTTTTTCCGCTCTGCTTTCCTGTTCTTCGTCCTGGGGTTTGGGTTGCAGAGGTTGAATGACGTCGTCAGGAGGTATTTTAGAACATAAGTTTTGCGCCTCCGCTAACAGATTAAAATCAGCGGGCAGTAATTCGGTGGCGAGTGCCAGCAAGTCCACCGTATCTTCGGTTTGCGTCTGATTGGCTGTGAATGAGAACTTCTTGGGTCGGGCCGGGCTATTGTTAGTCGTACAAAGACACCTCTGTGAGAATTGGTTCAACAGTGCTTCCGGGGTTGGCAACAGAGGCTCCAACATCTCCGGAATCGGTTCTTTCTCTTCCTTCTCTTCGGCGGCTCTTAAAATTTCAATCAGCTCTTCCGTGCGTTTCACTTTCTCCAAGGGATGCTCGTTCTTCTCCCAGGATATCAAGAATGCCACTTGCTGCGCGCGCAGATGCAAGGTTCTTGCTTCCGAGTCAGAGGCTATTAGGTTCTCCAAGAATGTCACGGTCAAATCCACGACTGGGCTCGTCTCGGTCTCCTCCAAGCTAGACACGTGGTCCAGTAGCGCGCGCAGAGCGCCGGGATTGTTTTCCAGACAGCTCTTTACATGATAGAGACCGTAGTTGTGGTTGCTGAGGGACAAGAGGATGTGCAATGTACTCTCTATCACGTCCAACTGGAATTTTGTGCTGATCGCTAGGATATCGATTAAAGCCGCGAGGATAGATAAGAGAGGCTCCTTGCTGGGCACCGAGTGCGTCAGTCTCTTCTCCAAAGGTTCGTTGTCCTCTTGCACCAGGCTGAGGCTACAGTTACACAGAGTTTCGAAGATACTGAGAATCTCGTATTGCGCGTTAACGTTGCTGCTACTTTTCAGAGTAGAGCACATCATCTCGATGACCGGCGGATACTTTTGATCGGACTTTACTTGCGCTCTCGATGCCGGACTGGTCAAGGTTAACAAAGTAGCCTTCACAGGCGCATGCCTGGCCAGATCGCTGATTAGAGCGAGAATAGGAACGTTGTTTTCGAGAGGAGTGGCTGCTAGAATACCATCCAAAAGACACCTTCCAACCAAAAGAGCCGTCGGTGCTGCCAGGTCGCTTAGCTGCTTGCAAACCGTCGATAAGAGAAGTAGGACGTCTCCGTTCCAACTCGTACAGAGTAGCCGAAGAGTTTCGGTAAGATTCGCAGCCTGAGCTTGAAGATGTGCCGACCAGAGCTTCCTCAGGCCCAGGATCCTCGTCGCATCCTCAGTAGTGGTCTCTTTTGGTGTTAGAACAGGAGGTAGCAGGCGAGCTAGCAGCTTCAGACCCGGTACGAAGTTGCAAGGGCGGAGGGAGATCATCTTTAGAACTTCGCCCAGCATCTGAGTCCACAGCGACTTGGCCACATTGCCAGAACCGTCGGAATCGACGGCCTGGGTGAAGACCAGAAGCGTTCTCACGATTTCTTCGGACAGAGTCGGCACCATTAAGTTAGACGGGATGGCTTCGATCAAGGAGTAGACTCCGAGCAACGGAGCGACGGCCGTGAGGTCCTTAAAGTCCGTCGCCATGCACTTGACGAGTCTTTCTAGCAATGCTCTGGTCAGTTTTACGCAAGGAAGCAATAAGGCAATTAGTGCCATGCCTCTGCGACCAGTCAGAGCAGCGCAATGGAGGAACGGTTGTTCATAGAACTCGGAGACGTTCGCCATTACGGCAACCAGAGCGGTGAGGCCGTCGGCAGCGAACAATTGGGTCAGAGCATTTCTGTACTTGAGCTCAACGTACGGCTCCAAAGGATCGACGTCGTTATTCGATGGAAAGATGAGATAATGTAGAATTCTACAGGCAGTAATTAGTTGACCGGGAAGCGATGCAGCCTTCTCAGCGATTTTCCTGATAATTGTCACCAACAGGGAGACGTCACAGTAATCCCAATGAGACGCTTGGGCCGCGACCGTCAAGTACGGCGTCACATCCCTGAGGATAACATGCTCGCGAGCTTTGTCCAGTATCAATTCCGCGCGGTTCTGGAAGATCTCCACTCTATCGGAATAACGGACGACTGCGGAAATCACCTCGGCGGCGAACTCGCAGAGATTGGAGTCCATCAAGAAAGGGATGAGAATATCTATGAAGTCGCCCAGAGGTAGAACCGTGACAATAGCGTGCAAACCGTCTGGAAAAATGAGGAAGGAGTGCAGTCTCTTCAAAACCGTCCAGTCGGAAGTCTGTTTAAGGCGAATCAGGCACTGCGCGACTTGAAGACGCCATCCTAGAATGCGTCCAGCGCCTGGTAGCTCATATTTCAGGGCTTTCAATAACAGTCGAACCACCTCGACCTCCTTCAGCAAGTAGAACAAGCCTTCCTTGGTATTGGAGAGCTGCAAGAGGAAGCGGCGGGTCAATTTCATCGTTTGCAAATCGCAATCGGGAGAAGATAACCCCAGTAGAAGATGATGGGCCAGTTTATGGTGTTGAAAATAAGCCACCAGATGAGCGCGGGGATTGCGAGCACGCTCTCGTTCGAATTCCATCTGAGCGCCGGCCGGCAACTGGCGTTTAGGCTGTGCCATCAACGTCGGAGCGCACACGTACGCGTTCATGAGCTCCGCTAAACCGAACTCGTCGTAATTCTTCATCTCTTCCAGATACTCGTACACGTGGACTTTGCGGAAGAGCGAGCTGAGGGCGTATTTGAGCCTGGCCAGCTTTGTCGTGTCAAGCATCGTTAGTGCATTTCTGTACAGATTGTCCCTTAGAAACTCCTGCACGATTATCGGGCTGATTAATGCGGCGTCGAGGGCTCGCAGAGCGGAGAGTTTCACTGGTAACGCCACGTTCTCGCGCATACAAAGGGATAGCAATTTGTACGGGGCTTCGACCTTGAGCAGAATCACCGGACCCTCCGATAATCGACAGAGAGCCTCCGCCAAGCGAACTCCCACTTTTACATGACGCACTTTATACGCTGGTTGCGGTTGAGCCCTCGCGAGCTCCATATCTAAGCCGGCGTTGACGATGTCAGTCAAATCGTTGATATCGTTCACGTCTGTGTCAAACGGACCCAATATGGCGCATAAAGTCTCGCAGTTGTGAACGAACGTTTCTTTCTCCTGGCCGGACGCATTGTGAAAATGCGAGACCGACTTGGAGAGGGATTGTAGAAGCTCTCTGATCTTGGACAAAGTTTCACGATTCACGCACGTGTTCTCCATATCTTCCGGCTTTTCCAAACTTAACAAATCGGGCGGAGCCATCGCGTAGACTTCGTCGACCTGCGATGATTCGCACTCAAATTCGGCTGTAGACGGAACATCGTCCGTTATTATGTCCTCATCCGATAATATTGGCTCGAAGGGCTCGCCGGTCTCTGGCTCGCCAGCTTCTTGCTGCTCCGCTTCCTCCTCTTCGGCAGAGATGGACTCGGGGCTCAGAGAAATCAGGGACTCGATAGGAGGAGACAGAGGTCGCTTTGACGATTTTTCGCCTGCGTTGGACGTCTCTTCCTCCCATTGTCTCGACTCTGTCTTTCCCGTCTCTGACGTAGACGTTCTGGATGGTTCCACCACCTGGATCGGTTGTGGCGACGGGGTCGCCGTCACGCATGTTTCCTGCTGACGTAATTATGCGTTCAATTTTCAACTTAATGAAAGCTAAATCATACAAATAATGAAAGGAAAAACAACAGTCATTCTATAATTATTCGCATCAATATGCTATCAGAATCACATATATTGAATTACTAATTATATCGAAGGACATTTAAAGTATGCGACGTCTCTGGTACATTTTCTGGGTGATTCTTGAAATGTTTCTATCGTTTGCAATTTCTTTCGAATGTGAACGCCATCGTTGCAACGTCAGCAAGCAGATTTCCTTACCGATAAATTCGTTTGATGCTGATTCTCGTAATACCATTCGGACTGCTGCTCGGACGAGATTTGCACAGCATTTTCAGGGTTCTCCTCTATGGAGCTGACGCAAGCGGTAGAGCCAGCTGCCGAACTGACGACTTCCTGCGGATTGTTGAGTGACTTGGTCAGGGTGCCGTACACTGCCAATGTTATGGTGGTGTACCAGCCTCTCAGCACCAGCCCATCCGTTGGTATTTGCTTCCGTTCGCATTCCAGCTGGATGTGAATGTTCTGCTTATATTCTAAACCACCTAAAAACTCGAACGTGGAGGCCCCGGGTTTGCTGAGATCGTTGACGAAAAACTCAATCTCGAATTGAGAAGGATTGGTCGCTCTGAAAGAGAGAATAAGTCTCTTTACATTTCTCACAAGTTTGCAGATTCTCAATGCTAGAAATGCAGAGTAATTACCCAAGTCGCACTCCTCCTGGAAAGTCTGCCTGTACTCTGGCACCCAATGGAATTATTCTCACCTCGCTAATGTAAACAGGCTTGGGGAATTGCACCAGGTCCAAATTCAATTCCTGAAAGCGCATCATTTCATGTTCCAATGTTTTGTGACGAGAAATCTGCACGGCTTTCTAAATTTAACACAACCATTCTTGGAAAGTAACTAAATTCTTTACAAATTAACAAATATCTATATGCAGTTGACAATGTCCAAGGGCCAGGTTTACAAACGTTAACTGCTAACCGAAGGTTAATTGATTCTGTTGTTTCTTAGATAACAAGGTAGTAAAAGATAAGAACTGTTGACTGAACTCTGGTTAACAGTTAACCGACATTTGTGAAACTGGCCCTAAATAACCGAGGGGAAAACCGCTGACCAAAACTGCCCAGTGGGCATTACTTTATCTTATTTTATTTTTATAATGCCCAGTAATATGCCGCAAATCTATACACCACGCTTCCCCGGTAACAATCATAACCTTAAAAACATGTTTGCGCGATCAATGGAGAGACCAAAGCTTCTTTCCATCTACTTTTACTTCAACGTGTTATCGGGGATAAATTTCAACAGAATGGTTAACAAATAACGTATCCTCGAAGTCAATTAATCGTTATTAAACCAATGTAAACAAACCTCTGAAATGTCGTGGGAAAACGTATCGAAGAACAACAATTCGGTGTTATCCATGTCTTACGAGCAAACAACTTTCGGATGACATAATATCTTAACAATTAATTTTTTTTATAAAAAGTACGAGTACTCGCTCCACTTTTCATTCTATCTGTTCATTTTCCTTCGTACGAAAGTACTCGGTGCTTTCCTTCGTCTAATTGTATACAGTCAATGTATATCAGAGTAGCACATTCCATATGTCGAATGCTTTCTTATGTTATTTATAATAATGTAACGTCATATTTTGTAACGCGTGTTATAATAAATATCTTATTGTATTTTTATTGATATTGAACCGCACCATACAGGACTCGTTCCAAGTACTGACAAGTGACAGCAAATGCTTGCTTGCGTTCCGAAAATCGCTACGTTGCAAGTTAGTACAATTACTGCTGCCTTTACGAAAGCAGAGAGAAACCTGAGGGTGCTTTCCGGTCGATCTCAGGTATTTCTTTAGTTCGAGGTGGAAGATATGGCGGCGCCCATGGTGCACGTGCGCGGATAAACACACAGGTGAACACGCGGGGATGGATATATCAAACTTCAACTCAAGACAGGAGCGAAATATTGTAAAAGAGAAGAGGATGGATGCGGTGCCTACGAAGCCAAAGAAAGCGCACAAGCGGATCTCGAGGAACGAGAACGAAACGTCGATAAAGAAAGCGAAGACGAACGGATCTCCCGAGGAGGTGGTCGAACGTGACGTGGTACGGGAGGATTTTGATAAAAATGACACGAAGGCTGAGGCCGTTTGCAGCGACAGGCAGGATACGTTTACCGGACACTCGCTGAGGACGTTTCTTTCCTCCCCTTCCGCCGACCTGACCGCGCTGAGGAAGTTCGTGACGATATGCAACGAGAACAAGGAGAGGGATCTGGCGGCGGAGTATCTGCTCGCCGGCGGCAGCGTCCTCGAGGTTCTGAGGCTGTTAGAGTCATCCGATAAGAAGAATACTGCCAGTGCTACCACTGTCTTCTCTGCGATCCACATTTTACTCATGAGGTACGTATAGTGGCAACGCGCCTGAGAATCCGCACCTTCGTTTCATGTACAGTTTTATTGTAGAATTTTGACCGAGTACCCACAGCGTCGCAGTAGCGCGATAGAGGCCTGTCGCCACCTAATAAACTCTTACATGTCCATCGTGCACTCCATGCTCTCGACTCAGAGCAGTGCCAAGCAACGCAAGGTGGTGCTGAGGCTGCTAGCGGCGATAGCGTCCCTGGACAACGGTCTGTCCAAAGAGCTGCTTATCCATCTGTCGCTGCAGCAGCAAACATTGGAAAGTCTAGCGCAATACACCAAGCCCACGGATTCTCAAAGCGTTAGAACGTGCTTCATTCACTTTGTTCTTGCGTTCCTCGTGGAGGGGAACACGCTGGTGATCAGAACGCTCTTGGACAAGCGCAATCTGCTCTGCTGCGTCTTCTCGGATTTGTTGTACGATTCGAAAGACGTCGTCACCTTGGTTCTGACCACTGTCAAGACGTACGTGCTGGAGAACGTCGGCGTTAGTAAAACGACCAAGCTGCATGTATTTTCCGTGCCCGCTGTATTGAATCTGATATTGTTGTACAACTGGAAAGGCCCGAACAACTGGCCTAAAAACAAAACTCACAGTTTCGATGGGAGCGACAACTTTTTAGCGGACAAGGAGGTAACTGTCATCATCTCATTATTGTAAATTATGATATTTACAATGTTACTTTATGTCGAGAACTAGTTTAAAGGCCTGTGTCCACGATGCTAGAATCCAAGCTTTAGTTTCGAGAAGTGTGTAGCCAATTGACTTACCACTATTCATAAAAGCTGCAAGTTGGATCAAGTTCTAGCATCGTGGATGCAGACCTTAACTGCAGCACCAATTTTATTACAACAAGAAGATTGCTCAACGAATGGATAAAAATTTATTTAATATTGAGGTGCGTCTGAATAAAAATTTCCTACTATCTTTGTTAAAGTAATTCAATTATTTCAGCGGACAAAAGCGTATATTCTTTAATTAAGAAGCAATATTGTGAAAAGTAATAAACTTTTTACAATATTAACTTATGTCTATCGAGTTTCTTGTTATTGCTCTTTCTTTTTTCTTTTTTCCGGTTGTAATTTAGGTCATTAGTGACATGGTTCACGAGTTCTTAATCACTTTGTTAACGTCGCATCGTCATGGAATTGTTTTCCATGACCGAACACTGGGTGGTTCGCGAAGTAAGCACAATCAATTGGTACATACAGTCCTTCAGAACCTGGAGAAGCCTTGGGAACATGAAAAGCCGTCAGATCTGATTGTTAGGATAATGGGCGCCTGCCCGGATTTAATTCGCTCGCAGTATAATGCTATCGAGCCATTTCTTGAACCCAGAGTGTCATCCAAGTGGGTTTGTCTTCTCAAATTTATAGGGAAGGTGAGAGATATTTGTAGGTTCGCTGTATTGTTTTACGCATTGTCCTTTTAATTTGACCCATCAAATGTTTCTTTCCGTAGATAGTGAAATCAGTCGACCCGGTTAGCTGCATCAAAACTTGCACTGGAGAACTGAAAGCAAACAATTTAATAAGTGCATTACTGTCTCTGGCGGTTCCAAACATGATTGTGAAAGTCGCTGTCTTACCAGGATTAGATCACGATAGTCTTTCTGTTAGACACGAGGCTTTATCTCTTCTCCTAATAATGGCTGATCAGTTGAAAGCCATTTCTTTAGCTACGAAAGAGTTCTATAAAACATCTACGGTCCAAAGTCAGATAACGGATTTAATTCTGAGAACTGTTCCCACATTGGAAACTATCTTGCAAATGTGGAACCGAGCTTTTGAAAATGACACTAATATAAAGACTTCGGAAAACGTAGAAAACATTCAGCGCCCAGAATTGGTAGACCATCTCGATATTATCTTGAGCGTTCTTCATTCGTATCAAGATATATGTCCAGAATCATTAGATATCTCGACTAATTTACAACCTAATTTGTTGCTATCGAGTTTAAGTGGTCTTCAAGACGATCAAGACGACGGAGATACCATCAGGACAGAGAAAGTAAATTGCATGAAGGTCAAGACAATACAATTTCTGCTCGCTTTGGATTCTTCCATTTTTGCACCAAAAGAAAAGGCTTTCAAGGAAGCCCTCGTCTTCTTGATATCTCTGACCCGTCAGAAAGATCCCTCACCGGGCAGCTACAATGCTACTAGAACGCTGCTCAATGCAACGGGTTTGTTTGAAGCCTGTGAAGATCAGCTGGATATTTGGATCAATGGTTTCTCCGTGGTTGCGGATTCCAAGGAGAATGAACAGTTGACGCAGTGGTTCATGTCTGTCTTGAAAAGCGCTATTAAACACATTGACACGTATATAAGTATAACAACACAAAAGGAAGAAGTGATAAACGATCAGATAGCTAATCTCAACGTTAAAACAGCGGAGGATATAATTAATGAGCTGTTTGACAAAACTGACAAAATCAGTCCCTACCAGGAAGAATTTTCTACAGTAGGGTCGTCTTTAGTTAACGGACAATTTAGTCTTGTCGAGAAGGATGATGCAATTGACGATAGCCTTTTTTATAAGTTTAAACAAGAAAATGCAAAAAATACTGCTAAACATGCTAAGTGTACAGCACAGAGAAACGAGCAAGTGACGAACTTTGACATAAAGGAGATAGAGGATATGATCCATCGGTTACTTGATAAGGCAAATCCACAAAGCTTCCCTTTAAACAAAAACCATCTCAATAAGATATTGTCTACATCGATGCCATCTTTAATGGGTGAATTTAGTAATTCTAATGTAAAGGAAACTAATGAGGTGATTGATGAAGAAAATGTCGATCCTTGCAGAATGCAAGCTTGCACGGCAATGTCACCACTTCTGTGCTGTGCACTGCAAAAGATGAGTGAGAAAAATTGCACCACCACGATCTTGGCTTATTTATCCTACGTAACAATCCATACTCTACATTATCAGGTCGTACCGGATCTACTGGTTTATATGGCAAAAGACTTGACCAAGTCAAGATGGCAAGATTTGCCGGTTCATAAATACCTGCAAAGTTGGTCAAGTAAGAAGCAACCTATTTCTTTGAAAAATAAGTTGCCGTCTTTAAGATTATTGCATAAACTTAGCGACATATTGTTGGCAGATTCCGAGGTAGACTTGACTGAACTTTCTAAATTATTTAACAAGGGTCGTTCGACGTATTGTTTTAAGTACAGCGGCAAGGAAGTCACTATTAAGCACTCCTTATCTGTGTACGATGTCAAGACTTTATTGAAGATGACTGTATTTTATTTAGCACAGTTAGCGCAGTCGAAACTCTTACGGCAGGCCCAAAACGAAAATTGCAAGCTTATGCTTGCATGTTTATTAAGCGTTTCTGCTGAATTGAATGAGGAAAGCCTAGCAACACTAGAAGACAGTGCAAGATGTATCTTCACTCATCCTGTTCTGTTGCATTATTTCTCGCCATTTTGTGAAGAAGTCTCGAAAGATTCGGCGGAATATATGATCACGGAAACTATTCTGAAAGTCTGTGAGTCTGTCTTACATTTGTACAAGAAACACGATAACGCGGGGACTTGTATTTTTTTTGCGTTTAGAGACAAGTTCCTCGCGGAATTGAGGAATATTATTGAAAGGAATCCCTTGGAAGTCTGCAGTAATAATTACGGTATTGCCATTGACTTATTGAAAGTATTACAGCTGGACTCGAGGGATATCACAGGTTTGTTATGTGCTATCATGAAGTTGGAGAAGATTGTATTTATTTCGAGCAACAAGGAAAACCTTTCCATATTCGGACACGTTGTCCCGGTATTGCTGGATCTGTATTGCAGCAAGGAGTCAGAATCGCACGACACGTTGAACGAGCAGTTTGTAGAAAGGTTTAGCTTACACTTGGTTCACCTGAAATCCAGTAAGTTAAATCACGTGGAAATGTGGGAGCAAGCCTTGGCAAGATACTTATCCATCTCTCCGCGCAATGTTTCCGGTGTCAGTACCAATAATTTTGCATTACTGCTGACGAGAAGTATCACCGCGTCCACGATTCAACTGATAACGACCTTGATCACCAAGAATACCCGGCTGATTCCTTCGCTGGTCAAGTACTTTCTTAAGGTGGAGAACGTGAAGCAAGGTGACGTTGCGTTTCCAATATTGGGCAGCAATTTGAAGTATAAATGGAACGAAAAGTTTCTTCAAAGTCTTTACGAGCGTTACGGCAGCGACATCGCCGCGTATATAACCGAGCCACAAAACCCTGTTCCCTGGATCGAAGAAAACGTGGCAGCGATCGTCCATCTCATCGATAGCACCTTCGATATTGCTCTGTGCGGGAGAATTTGCGACGATGTTTCTCAGAACGGCGATAAACTGGACATGGTGTCCATTTGTTTTGTGCAGTTGCTGGAAAGCGTATATAAGAGGTACGAAAGTTTGATAACGGCTAAGGAGAAATCTCTGATGGACCTGATAAAGGTCTTGTTGCACATAATGACCTCGACATTGAAAAGGGAGCCGAAGAACATAGAGAAAATCAATGTCTTGTGCGAGAAGCTGAATCGCGCGGTGATTCGCTTGAAAAGGACTGAGGATAACTTCGTATTTAGTTCACTGAGCAAGAGTTACTCATGGCCACAATTTACTAGGTTTTCCTTAAAATTAGGTCTAAAGGATGCTAAGGACGAGGCGACTCAGTCGAACGTATTGAAGACCCTGAGCAATTTATGTGATATCGCTTATGAAGATAATGTCGATGATGAGTATACGAAGACCCTGTTCGAAATGGTAACGTCCCATTCGGAGTTTGTTAATATTATGCTTGGATCGCCCGCTATTAAAGGTGAGATTGCTCGTGCGTGTTCTAATCATCGAGAGGGAACACGTAGAAATATGCTTATTCTCGGACAAAATGTTGGTGGATTTTATTTTTCATTGATACAAATTGCATTATTAGCACAGCCTTGATTCGTGACTATAAAGTATTAAAAACTTACAGGAACATGTTATAAAAATAAGTTTAATCTTTGTTTAAACGTTTCATGATATTTTAGGTGACCTGGTCGAATTACTCGGAATACTCATTCGAAAGAATCATTCTGTAATGACTGCTTTGCACGTACCTCTTTATCTCGCGGCTTATAATGCCACCCTTTGCCACGTTGACCAGCGCCTTTTGCAGGTAAGACTCGCGATTATCGTACTATGTAAAGAATATTGCATAATATCTCTGATACTTTCAGATTCTTCAGTATTATGAAGCTCATCATGTCAAACTCCAACAGTACTGGCCGTACTTATGGGGTAGCGCCGCAGCAACACGTTACAGTGTAAAGGGAGAGACGGATACTGTTCTGTGGAGGCAACCTTCCACTTCCGAGGTCTTCAATTTGTTCAATAAGGACATTGTCAGTGAGACTATAAAAAATTATCCCATACACCGAACAATGAAGGTAAATGATTCGAAATATTTTTATTGCAAAATTTTAGACAGATTTTCGGTCTGAAGTATTCCACTATTTTATGATCCTTTTTTTAAAAAATAAAGTTCAAATTTTTGTGTAAACTGCGAGCAAAGCTAAAAGCGAGAATTAGATACTTCGCAAAATTTTATAGATTTTATCTTTGAAGATTAATTAAAAATTCTATTGTCTTTCTTTTTGCAGAGTGATGAATTACACGAGAACAGTAATGTATATGATCCGGCATTTTATCTGCCATTGCTGTGTACCCTATTAGCAGAAAATAATATCGTCGCGTGTCACAAAATAAGCCAGAGCGGTGCATTGGCGTTAGTGCTTGCTGCGTGCTGCAGTGATTCAAGCGATATTCGGATGACAGCATACACTATCATCTCTAGATACTACTTTCACTTGGAAGCGTCTAAGTACAATAACAATTTTAGTAATTAGGCGAGAGATCGAAATAGATTGTGCATTATGATAAATAATACGTTTTCTACAATATACAACTTTATTATTTGTTATAATTTACGATTTAGCTCGTTTATTATTTTAAATTCAATTTAGTTCTCTTTGAGTATTATTGGTCTTTCCTTTATGTTCCTCTTTTGTGAACTAACAATTTGCAACTTACAATTTTGAGGCCCATCTCCAAGTTTGATATTAAAAACGCTATTTTTTTCCATCGATGGGGACACATAGCTTAGGAACACTTTTTAGATCCTTAGTAAATCCACATTTCAGCGAAAAAGATTCGATTAACAAAAAAAAACAATCTAAATTTTCTTATTTACCAGATCTAAGGAAAAGTTATTATGGATGCGCCTAATTGATGCTTTGCGAAATGGAGTCATTTCCTTAAAATGTCCATTGAAGGATGTCCGGCTGAGTTGCCTGATGACTACTTTCCTAGCTAGGGCCTCATTGATCGCCAGTCAACCTCTGCATCCACTTTATTCGCCGTTGCACATCTTCCTAATGGCCAAAACTGCGCTGGACGTAAATACCATACCGGAGCTGCTGCAGTTGTTGCACAGTTCGCATGTGGAGCATAACGTGCACCGGCACTGGATATTAGAAAATATCCGGGACGGTATGAAGGAGGAAAACGATGTAAATGTGGCCCTGAAATGCGTGTTGTTCAAAATTCTCCTAGATTTTCATACTTGTGCACTATCGGATGTTAAGACCAAGGTAAACCTTTATTTACTATTTTCATATAGTTGATTATCTTATTTTTAATGCTGTTATTTCTAATATTTGTATCTTTAATACTTTCACATTCTTTTAATTCTCCAAATCTTTATATTCTTAACAGTTTTCTTTGTGCTGCTCTCTTACTACTTCATATTTGCTACATGATTACATGATCACAGAGGCAGCGTTTCGATATTCACTGACAGTACTGGAAATCTACAGTTTACATCACGTACACTATACATTTTCAGTACCGACAATAGGAGTAAATATCGAAATGCAGCCAAAGTAAGAAAGCAATTTGAACAAAAAGGAAAATTATATATATCTGAATCTTGTCATTAGCGTCGTCAATACAAAGACTTTTTGTATATGTATATACATTTTTTGTATGTATACATCTTTGGAACAAGAAGGCGAGGATTGTGAGAAAAGATTAAAAATAGGGAATTGATTTGGCTGAATGGGATAAAAATAAGAAAATTTGATTGTATTAAATTACATTTTAATCGTAATGAAAATCAGGAAGTTAGCTTCTTTTTTACTTGATTGTTTTCTGTGTATATTAATAAAACAAACCGAATATATAGGATCTGTAAAGAAACTTGCTTTAGTGCTGCTATAAAATAATCTCATATTATCTATTTGATATAAACTAGTAAACTTCATTGATATAAACTAGTTACTGTTTTTTTTCTTCTAGAAATTAATTTTGGAAGTTATCGCCTGTACTACCAAAATTCCCAAAGCATCCTTATTCCTCACACGAGGATATGGCATGGTTCCTTGGCTGCACGAGATTGTCAACCACTTGGATAATTATGAAACGGAAATCGGAACCATTATTACTATAATTGAGAATTTACTGAACACTCTAGATAGTACGGCGCAGGATATTAATCATTACAAAACTCTGTTATCTAGCCTCCTTTTGCTATTATATACGCATTCAAAGAATAGACACAAAGTTGACGTTATTTAGTGTATTTTCTCGCAATGGTTATTTTTGAAATACAACAAAACAGATGCATATAAAAAATTTGAAGATTGAAATAGGTAATATGCAAGGTATATGGAAAGTGTATAGAGTAATTAAGTTAGGGTTTGAAGAACATTTTCTAGTAGTTTCTGCAGAAGTTCCTGGAAAGAATAAAATTCTTCCTTTTTGTTATTTTCAGTTGGATACAAAGTATGTATTAAGATATATCGCTCGCAAAAATACGAGTATACATGATGTTTCATTACTATTATTATCTGGTTAAATTCCGTTACGGGTTCCAACCTGTTGCACTTGTAAAGTGTTTGCATGTTGGGAAGTAAAGCAGGATGGTATGTTTCTTTCTGTTCTATACCCTTCCTGTGTTGTTCAAGTATCTTCTCACGTGGTATAGCGACATGTGCACTAATTTTTCCATCATTGAGTTCGTCTGTACATGCCCTAGCTTCTTTTGTTTTCAGAGCTAAATGAGCGATGTAGTCTTGATCACTTCGCGACAAAAAAACATCAATGTCATTCCTTTTATGATGTTTAACAAAATCCTGTGCTCTGTATATACAATCTTCTGAATCATGTAAGGCATGTCCTCTAGGATGGCCGAAAAGCCGTCGTTCAGTGTTCTCAGAGTATGTCATGCAATGATAGGGTTCATTATCTGAACTATTTAGAATTTCTTTAGCACACTCAGGCGATTTTCCGTCGTAATGACGAGCCCCGCCAATTAATTTGATGTTTTTTTTCAATTTTATCTTGTATATCCGTTTTGCGAAATTCTGAAAGTTGTTTTTCAGTTTTAATACCGTCCATTTACGAAGTTTTAATGGATCCTGCTCGATTTGAGAGCCAATCACCGAAAAGAGACAGCTGTTTAAATCAGTGACAACATTGTCAGGATCTTTGTTACCTCTTAGAGTCCAATGACCTAGGAAAGGATTAGCAAAGCTTAGATAAAAATGAGAATTTTCTATGTAAAATGTCGGCTTTAAAATTTTTATTTATGTGCGTACATTGTACTATAAAAGAAAAAAAAAGAAACAAAACTCTTCACGAAAAAAACCATCTTCTGATAAGTAATCACTATATTGAAATATATTAAAATATTGACCATACGATAAAACTAGTAGAGGAGATTTATATAATTTGTTCCAAACTTCAATAACATTCTTAATATAGATTAAACAATCATTAACAAACTATATTCAAAACGTCCGAACAAAATTGCAACAGGTTGACATCAATCACATTTGCATTAAATTCTGGTAGAGCTTACAAAAATATAATACAAATACAATGGCATTTTAATGATAAAAAATTGGATAATCGTCGTTAATCTACATGAATTTATGTTGTATGTATACTGATTTTTACTGTCATTTTATTATTATTTATACTTTATTAATAATTTTTATTGCATTTCTGCCAGTATAAAACAACCAATATAAAATAACAGTATACATGCGACAAATACTGTTAATCTTTCAGGACGGGGATTTTTCCGAAATAAAAAGTTGGTTCCTGTAGGGACCAGACCGTCCTGAACAGGTTAAATATATAACTTTTTCACTGAGAAATTTTATAATGGACAAAATCTGTTTGTGACAAACTTAGTTCTCCGACGTAAAAAATTGATGTACATATATGTTTTTAATATGTTTAAAAAACTATGATTTTCTAAGAGTAATGAGATGAATATGAATAATTAAGGTATTTGTTAGTCTATATTTTACCATAAAGCTATGTTAAGTTATTTGATTATCTATGAATCTACACGATGTATGTTATACCTACTAAAATCAAGCATGATATTGACATATATGTTTTACTCTAACTCTTTCCAATTATATCCTTATCTGGACTAAAAAGGTGAAACCATTTTGAGATGCTCCAACTTTACAAATTCTTACAAATTTGGCTTACATCTTTTTGAAACTATTTAATTAAGAACGCACCTACTCCTTCCGAATCAGTCGCATGAAATTCAATGTCTACAGGATGTCCTGTTTTTCTTTTACCGATTATTTTATTTAAACTACCATTAACATTCCATATCTTGATGGGTCTTTTAATTATGCTACTCAGAACAGCAATATGTATTAAACCAGCTGGTCCATAGTGTTCCAAATCTTGTATAATGTCATTTATGTATTTAACCTTATATATTTCGCCTTTGTTTTTACGAATAGCAGAATAGCATTGGATAAGATTGATTGACTGAATTCCATGCATCTTCTTAGTGCAAATTTTTTGACCTTCAGTCATTTTTGCGACTGTTCTATAGTAAAATTGGAAAGATGCTGTATCGCTGTTGAATTAATTTTTTGAAGCTGTACATTTTGCTTTCCTCAAGTGAGGAATAATTATCTAAGATGGAATAATATAAAATTTATGGCACATTAAAAATTTCTCTTTAAATGTAAAAGTGGAAAAATATAGCTGGAGAAAGAGAGAAAGAGAATCATCAAAATCACATGAATTATTAAAATATGAATGTCAAAAACATTTAAATTAACATACCACCCATTTGTTGCCTCAAAAAGAATCTATTATGTTATCGGGTCTGACAAAGTATTTGTATTGGAGATAACGTACATTTTCTTGTTTAATTACAAAATTATTTTTCACTTAAAATTTTCTTTATTTAGACGACATAACGAGGTATTCAAAACAACTTTCGTTGCTACGTAATTTAACATTTGCTGCATTTCGCAACTGACTTCCGTTGATTTACTTTTTCGTAATCAATTTCGATATATTTCCATTTGACGTTAACTCTTCCCGAGTTGAATATTCTGTTTATTCAAAGACTTAATCAAATAATTAAATGTTAATGTATGGCAGGAAAGATTAAAAGTTATTTTTTAGACAAATTGTTGCAAATATGCATTATAAGTATAACTATTATTAATTTTGTGACTTGTACATACATTTCAATCAACTTAAGTGCTAACATGATTATATATACATATATTTTATAAGTATATAAATATAAAATTATGTATTCTTTTAACATATAACGATAAATTATGTCAAAGAGTTAATTTTCATAAAGAAGAGGTCACATAAATTTTTCTTCACGTCCGAATAGATATTGATTCCAGTGCCATCATTAGTTATGCTGTTGGTTGAGACATAACAGATTCATAGTAGTCAGGATAGTCCGGTTGTCGTAGCGGGATGGCGAAGGCACGGTGGAAGGGGTGACATTGCTCCGGTAGTAGGGATCAGTGTCGGCTAACAAGTTTTTAGTTACCCATATTCTAAATAAAATATTCACTTTTTCTGTAAACAATGTATGTAATTTTGTCTTATGGATAATAGTTTAAATCTAATTTATTGAAAACATTATTAATAACAAAATACTGTAACATATTTTTTCGCGTTTATCTGAATCATTATCAAAATTATCTAAGTATCAAATACTGTTTTGAAATAATAGAATGTACTATATTTCATTTATATTACATATATAATTCATGTAAACGTAGAAGAATATAGATTTTTCGATAGAATTGAAGCAGATTTATAATCGACTTCGAATGGAATCTATTTATATTTCGAGGAAAATACTATAACATATTGTTTCGCGTTTATCTGAATTATCAACAAAATTATCTAAGTATCAAATACTGTTTTTTAAATAACAGGATGCACTATATTTCATTTATATCACACATATAATTCATGTAAACGTAGAAGAACATACATTTTTCGACAGAATTGAAGCAGATTTATGATCGAGTTCGGATGGAATCTATTCATATTTCGGGATCTATTAATCTTTTGTTAACTGAATCAATAAATTACATAGAAAAATATACATATTTCAATATACATTTAATCATTTAACTGAAGTATAATTAAAACTGAAAGGAACAGATATTAATGGACTCTACATCAGCAGAAATGTACATGTGTTTGTATCGATAATTTACAGTAAAATTATATAAAATTTGCATCTGTATTGGTTAATTATTCTCTAATGGATGCCGCAGTTAGATACTGCGTTTCATTATATTTTTCACTCTCTTCCGTTCTTCGTCAGGATCTTGTCGAGATGGTACGACTTGCGACGGTACTGAACTGAGTTCCTGAAGAACCACTCGCTCGCGAGTCGCAGCTTTCTCCCGACGCGACCAGTCTCGGTGCAGCCGCCTTTTCGAGTCTTCCGATCGCAAGAACACGTCTACGAAAGTGTGTATTGAAAAGTTAATTTGTATCAACAAATGTCGATATGTCGTAAATTCCAAGTCTATTGTTGAAAGTGAAAGAATTAGGGATGATGCGGCCGAGCGTGAACCAGTGAAATAGCTTCGAGTGATCTGTGATCTTTGTGTTGAAAATGTCGGGAATTTGACGGAGAAAATGGAAACGTTAATTGGAAGTGATTGACGGTGAGATTGGAGGAGTCATAAATGTGTAACCGTAGAAAATTTTCCGACGACATTCAACCCGACAAATTGTATAATCCCGAAGGTAATTGTTGCAATCATGGAGGAATGCGATGCGATTGAAACACGCACCAGAATAGCGTCGCTCGTTTCGAAATTTTCCCGAGCAGCTGAAAGTCTCGTAAAATAATCCTGACGAGACACAGCAGAGTTTGTTTGACTAAAACCAATATAAGTTGCAAATCTTAAGATCTCTTGTATATTCCGCGTGTCACGAAATATAATATGTAATGATTGCTAAATTAGAAAAATTAGATTTCTTAAAAAGGTTCATTAATAATTGCATGTTACGTATTGTTGTTGCTTGAAAACTACACAGAATTATTGCCGTCGCGACGGATCGTGCAGAATTTCTATTATACGTATACGTCGTATGGAAAATGCGTTAGAAAAAAATATGCTGTGTTTCACTATTCTTTGTCGAGTGAAAATTTTTATTTCAAATATAATTGTCCATTAAGTGAAAGACGTAAAAATTCTTAGGAATTCAAAATTCTTTAGCAAGATCCTGTAAAGCGTTCGGCGACTAACGCGATTGGTTTGATCGTACGGGCATTGAAATCTCCACCGAGCAGGCGGAATCAGCGTTAATATAATTTGTTGGAGTTTCGATTATAAAACATATATGGCTTTTAATTCGTATAAGAATAAATATTAAATATTACATTATTAAATAGAAATTTTAACAATTCTGTGGAATATATTCTCTTAATTTTGATGTATATAATCTCGATTTTCATAAATATTAGTACCTCTATAAATATGTTTGATAAAATGTTAAGAGACTTACATTTATCACCAATAAGTAATATTAATTATTTGTATTTTAATGAAATATTTAAAAAATTCAAGAAAATACTTATACATACAAAGACTCAATGATTTCATTGTTCCAAGTTGCGCATTGTTACAATTATCTAATTAAATATCTATGAAGTATTTTCGACATAGATTATTTGCTAAAAAGAAAAAATAAACTTTAGCACGTACAAAGTGCGAAATTAATTTATTATAGGATTCTTACATTGAAATAATCGATTTGTCCCGGCTTAATTTAGGGATGGTAACATTTATTCTACGCGAAATTCTACAGTGGAGGAATCCGTTTTCTGAAAATTTAAGAATCTAACATTTGCGACGTGGGTTGCCATAAATAATCTCGTTATAAATTCAATTCTATCGAACCAAGTATCATTACACTGACGATGATCCCTTATACCTGGTGCTCAATGACATTTGTGCTGCGTGATATCGGCAAGAAGGTCAAGTTTTTGTGCGATAGTTCATTCGGAGTGTTGTAAAGAAAACAGCGATGTGTGCCTTTGTGCTTTTCGCTTGGAGGTAGATTATGTAAAAGACGAACTGTCCAACGGATTTCAATACGGATTATAAGGATTACTTTCGCAAGTGACGCCCTCTGGATAAGCGTATATGGCCGGTGAGTGTATTTGTGAGCCCTTTATGTGGTAAGGGCGTGTAATGACCACAGTAACGTATTGAAGCTTCATTTGTTGATTATACCTGGTGTTCCACAACAACAGAACGTCCAACAAAATAGGATTTTCTGTTAGATATTCAAATGCGAGCTTTTCTTCATCAACATTTTATCGAATATGCCACATTTTTTAAACACCTTTTCCTTAATTTGTATACATTTCCTTCTATGTTTACTTTCTTATATCTTTTTAAACTTTAATTTTCGACAAAAAGTATTTCGGCACTCGAGTGTCCCATTGAAATTTCAATTATAAGTAACATTCATCTGAAATCAAATAGAAACAGAAAGTTCAATCTCTTTTATATACAGGCATTGATTTGTAAAAGTTTGTTTTCTATCACTTGTAATTCTTTTTCGTAGTCTTTAACACAATCTTCGTACATGTGGTTTATCAGCCCTTATTTACCCTCGGAGTTTCGTCTTGAATTGCTTGCAACGTTTGAAGCCCCCTATATATCCTCGTAAAGTTTTACTAGAAGGCGCAAATACCGGTTTCGCGCGAGTTAGATGCAAGTATTTGCTCGTGCGCGCGCACATGGTTGTACGTGTGTGTGCTCACACGTGGCGGCGCCGGTACTACCCGTTCAACAATGCTGTGCACCACGAGCAAATTATGCAATCGTCATATATAAAATATACATGTATAATTTTGTAAAAATTAGTACAAAACTTTACTAGTTTTAAAAATTTGAGATGCAACAAAATCTTAAAGAATTAAAAAGATATTACAAAAATTAACAAAAGTGTTCCAATTCTAGCATTTTTATGTCCATTTTTATAACACTTTTTTAATTTACTACTAATTAATTAGTAGAATTTCTTAGATTTTGGCAGTTATATTTCATTTCTTTGTAGAATTTTGTAGAATTATTTCCGGCAGGGCGATACTGATCGATATCGATAGAAGCACGTTTGTGTTCCTCGAAGTAAAACGCGAACTATTAACGCTCTCAAATTTAATGCAAATCAACGATCTAATCCCTAGTAGCACGGTACGTGGACTGAACATTGGTTAAACATTGGCCCAATGTTGGTTATATTAGAAATGCACTGGCTGATATTGTCCAACGTAAAGCCAATATTAGCCACGAAATAAATGCAAATATTGCACGATAATAATTATATAATATTAGATTTCTATTGAAAGTGCATTGGCCAATATTTAACAATGTGATAAGTATATTGGTCTAATACAATATTAAACCAATATTGCTAGATAGACACATTGGCTAAATAAGAGAAGGCGTCCATCTTACAATACTGGACCAACATTAGGAATGCTAGATTTATTGTGCTACTAGGGATGTATCTATTTTATATTTATAAAATATTTTTTTCTTCATGGATTATACAAACATAATAAAATTATACATCACAAATTCGTGAACAACGTCTTTACGTTAAGGTAGATGTTAATACTCGAATTTAAAACGTTACAAGAATTTTGTTAAATTCCTTCTCTTTTTTTTATGTGCACAAATGGTTCATATGCCCAATCGTCGTTTGTATAGATTAAACTGTTAGTCTTGCTGCAGACCCACTTTGTGATGAGAGATCAGATGTAATTTGTGCATTTAATTCTCTGATGAAGTGGACTCGACTCCACCGTCATTATGATACAGAGTCGTTTCTTGTAACGTCAGATAATGGACAAAATGTGCAGGAATGTGTGAGATGGGACGGTCGGTTTGGTTAAAGGCAGTGAGATGAGTAGATAATTGTCAGGTATTTTTCCCAGGTACGATGTAATGCGCAACGTCATGAACCTGGGTTGTGTTCTCGCATCACATTTCTTTGGAATAATCACGTGAGCATAAAATTGTGCCTTAATCAAGTGTGAGAATGACCAACTTTTTTAACCGAGCAATTAAATAAATAACAACTAAAGTAATTTTTTTAAAGCAACATCAAGAATCTTTTCATTGTGATTTTGTTCTTCTTTATTAAAAAAGTATGATTGAAATAAAATGATTCAACAGTATCATTAAATAACGAGATATTATCCGTGAATATCGAAAATATTGAATACGTTTCTACAAAATTATTATTTTTAATAATGTTTATTGTACTTTATTGGCTCGTCTTGTTTTAAACTCTCAATTAAATTGTCTTTAATTGCACGTGTCAGTTTTACGATTTTGCAACGCAACAAAGAATGCTTATTTATTCAATTCATGGCAATTTCGTTTTCACAAGAGGAGCACGTTATTATAGGGGAATACTGCTTTTCTCACATAATTATCTCGTCAAGTATTTCACATTTAAGTTCACGTGCTATGTTTCGTCGGTATCAAATCTCGCTGTCATTATTTCCCGAGAAAGAAGAAAACAAATGCAACATAAATTGTATACTACACGTATATTTCTTATTCCCTTTTCATCAAGGTGGCGGATACATGTAATCGATGATAGACGGAGATTAATTTCTTTTTTTTATAATTTCTTTATAAATTTCTGTCTGACTAATCAACAACGCGCTTTCTGCGCGTAGGATAATAATCAATATCGACCTTGATACCATTAGCGTAATATTAAGTCGTTAGGCTGGTCGGGAAAGCTTGATCAGAAACGTGACAGTGATTTCGTTAAGCGATGCTGTTGATCATCTTGCAAATAGGATCGTTCTTAAGCGAGTTCGCGTTCTCTCAGCAACGCTGTAGATTCTCTATACACCTTTCAATCTCGTCGTTAGAATATATTTTAGAATATTTCGTCTTATGTAAAAGGTATATTTTTCATTTTTGAGATATCGCATGAGGATTTAAACGTGAGAAAAAAGTCTCCTTGTAAATAGTGATTTGGAAAGGTTTCCTTTCTTCGAGCCACAAGCAAAATCTACTTTTTAAAATCAATCTTCACACCAGTTGCCATTAGACAAATAATAACTTTTTACGAATGTATTTTGCTTAAATGGAATTTTAGCGCGAATTGCCAAAATATTTGATGTTAAAAATTAAAAACTAGTCTGAGAGGGGTTTTTAATCAAATTCTTGTCGAGAGAAAAATTGGTTTTAAATGAATAAAATTCGTTCGCGCATGATTTTTCAATGTCCTGTGCACAATCCGAATTTAATATTGATATTATTCTAACATATTGAGTCTATTTGGAAGTAGCTCTGTCAAGCTTCTAGACATGTGCAAACAAAATACAAAAGTCGGTCCCGCTTGTCGTAACATCGCGGCGTGATCCGCTACACAGGAAATACTGCGATGCGTGAGATGCATCATCATCGACACATAAAATAAACACGACAAAATTATTGGTTTCGTCCGGCGCACCGCCGGTTATTGAAGTTAGGTTCCGTCGTGTAGAAAAAGAGGGTGTAGAAGAGTCAAGATGATTGGAGAGAACCGCATTTTTCCCCTTTCGTCTTTTTATTCGATATCGAGAAGGAGACTACGACCATTTATATCAGATTCGTGATATGAACAAAAAGAGGGAGTGGGAGTAGTTGCCATCTGTAAAATATTCTTCGTGCTTCCTTATACATATGTACGAGGGAGTACGAACCAGTTTATAATTTTGGAGGAAAGGCGGATGATATAAATATATGTAATCATTATATTTAAAATATTACGCGTAATATTATACCTCGTATCAAGTGAGACGATCTGTAGAGATAATCCGTGCACGTCCGTGTAACATCAAACTAGAGTATGAAATAAATGAGTTAATTGAAAGAATTTTAATTATTTTGTTGTAATTTTCAGTAAAATATGTGCTGTGGTTAATACAAATCTTTAGCTGACGCATGATTTGCTGTTATTCACAAGTTTTTATTTTGACGCAATAAAACGGAATAAAAGAAAGAATTTAAACACGAAAGGGTATCAGTTTTATAAGGTACATCATGGAAAGGGGTTTACAAGAGTCTCAAAATGTGGTCACTTAAGGCTGATTTATCAATTCAGAGAAACGACGTTGGAATAAAGAAAGAAAATTTCCTTCACTTTGCACATAAAAACATACAGTTAAGATTAAAAAAACGGAAACCATTAAAGCAACCGCCGAGACGCTGTTTTAGATACAAGTGCTGTATGTAATCTCACTTAACTGTAGATATTTAGCCAGTTCAATTTACCTTGAAAATACACGGTCATAATTTTGAATCTTTATTTTCTTTCGAAAACTCGGCCCCTCGAATTTACATCCGGCGATTTGTCAAGTACAGATGGTTTGATTAAAGCACATTTGAAAATTACGGCTTGCGTCAATAAGAAAAACATCGTGTACGCGCGTGTGAGTACAGTAGTTCGCGCCCATCTGCATTTGACTCGATGAAGCGTGATTCCGCAATACACGCCGTCTGATATTTGAATTCAGTGTTGCGACGCATAACGGCATTGCATCACTAATAAGTTAAGGATGGACCGGATGCGTCCCATTATTTTAGGGTGGGACGCGGAAGTACGCGTAGACGTAATCGGACCACTGACCACGATATAATAGCAAACGTAATTGCAACATATATTTTCGTATACAGTAATCCTCCGATTTAACGATCTAATCGAGACGAAGAGGTGTCTGTTGAAATGTCAAAAAGTCTGCATTGAATGTTACCAGTTTTTTCTTTTTAATTGTTTTGAATATAAAAAGGGCTCCGACACAGCACTACACAATTTGAAATTGTTAAATTATTATAAAGAATATTGCATTTCCAATTCTAGGTAAAGGATATATAATATTCATTACTTCTTGATCACGTAGTCGAAGAGTATTTTGCCGTGATCATAGTGGTAGCACAGTAGTCCTTATATTATTATTTATAATGCGATACGAAATGGTCCGTTAAATCTCATGTATCATCAATGTCCGGTATATCTCGGGCTGTTAAATCGAGGGTTTATTGTACTTAATCCTCAACCTGTATCTTCGGACGTCACTTCCTTGAAGCATTAACGTTTAAAAATATGTTCAGAATATCTCGATAAATTAAGGTGAAGATAAAGAGTAAATCGGGTTTTATACCAATTCGCACGTCGCTGCGTTTTCATGACTTGCTTATTGCATTATAATCGTACAAATCTGACAAATGTGACATGAGAGAGAGAGAGAGAGAGGGGGGATTACTACATATTTTTTACTTTGTTTGAAAAATTCTGATATCATCGACGGTGAGAGTTTTCACTTGGATTACATATTAGTTCGCACCTCACGTTACTTTCACGAGTCGCTCATAAATTCTCCCGCCGTGTACTATCATTGCTTCACATCAACGTTATTTCTGGAGTCGTTATAGAGAGTCGCTATAAAGAAATAACCACGACCGAGATTAATGTTACAAACGGACGACGAGAGTCCTGCTCCGTCAGGGAAGCGTAAGTCTATCTCATTAGCGCGAACGCACTTCGGATCCTAGATTATATACTGCCACGCCACTGCCAATGCCACGGGATAATTTACTGTCCGCACGTTACACGGATTATACGACGCGAGTGCAGGAAATAAAATAAATACTGGGTACTGAAAAACCACGAACTTCACCCACGGATTCTCCCCTTGATTCCAGAGAAAGAGAAATTGATTGTTTCTTAACGAGAATTCCATTGGACGCTTTCGTAGTTTGTATCTTCTTAAACCTCAACGCGTTTATCCCCGTAGATAAATTACGTTTGAATTTTGTGTTTGTTTTGAGATTTAAATCAGCTTGGACACTTGAAGACGAGATTGTTGTTTAAGAATTTATTTTAGCAAACTATAAAGTGTTTATAAGATACATTTTACCAGAAGATTTGTGGTACACGTAGCAAAGTTTAACAATTTTTAAGTTTCTCGGTTTTAAAAGCGCATCTTTTCCAATCTTCCCATGCAAACTCTGATTGTTGCTTTGAATATATTTATCCCAGCAATAATCTCTATCAAGCATATCATCTCTATTTAAATCTTTATAAATGCAACAAATAGATTTTATACTCCCGTCATGTAAAATCGTATGATGCTCGTGCTCCATTCAGTTTCTATCGTTCTGTTCGTTTTCACGAACGCCAATTTCGTGAAGCCGTAAACTCGCTAACGCGAAAGAATATAACAATAACAACACACTATTAAAAAGTGGATTACTTGTATGTTATTTTTAAGTCTGTAAACTTTAAAGCATAAAAATTTATGATTTTTTTATCTAATTCGATAAACAACGATCAAGCTTCTAATCGACCATGACTGGCGATGTGTTTTTAACACAGAAAATTTATTGCGAAAAATATTACCTCAGCCAGAGTTTGAACCTGGACCGCCTAGAGTGTAGGGAGGGTCCAGGTTCAAGCCCTGGCTGAGGTAATATTTTTCGCAATAAATTTTCTGTGTTAAAAACACATCGCCAGTCATGGTCGATTAGAAGCTTGATCATTGTTAGTCATTTGCTGGCGTCAAATAATTCTTGATGTATAACTTGATAAAATTCGATAAATAATGAGGATCTGTTATTTATAAAATGAGGCACGTAAAGTGCAGTTATTGAGCGCGCATTTTTTTACAAAATTACATAAAAATATTCTAAATAATGGATCATTTTATATATTTTGTAATGTACAATTTTTGTAAATATAATTTTTGTATTTGAAAACAACACAAGTGTCTCTGTCGAAGAATAAAAATTACAAAAAAATTTCGAAAGCTATTCCCTATATTTAAAGTGATACGTATTGTTCTGGTTACAGGTGTGCGATTGGAATGGCAGAAAAGTTGCGCGAGGCAGCTGCTCATGGTGACGTTGATCGAGTTGCACGCTTGCTCAACGAAAACGTTAAACCGTTGCCTGACGAAGTATGTTTTTAACTCTCAAAGTTTTAGTCGCAACAAACACATGCGCATACACAAACAGGATGGTCCGCTTGAAATATTTGCTGAAAACCTTTTTTTTTGTATTTACACTTTGTATTACTTTTTACGTTTAATACTTTTGTTTATATAAGCATATTTTGGAAAACCTTGAAGGAATAAAATGGATCGGGAAGAACGAAGTTGAAAAACGACTCTCAATAAATTGATTGATATCATTAAGAAGGTTCAAGACTACCGTGAGGCGTTAAATTGAATTCCGGTTGTAATTACTCGCGATGCTGACTGGAAAACTTTATTAACGGCTTCGAGGGCGACTGGCAGCAATATATTAATTTCATCTATTAATTATCTCACTCTCATATGTAGCATGATTCCGCATGAAGCATAGCTACGTTGGTTAGATTAGATTTAAAATGCAAATAAGCTCTCGTACGATATACATTTTGACTAAAGCATTAATGAATATGAAAGAATGGACCACCCGCTTAATCCGCGTGTCCCTTAAGATTGCTTGCACTTTGGTTATTCAATAATTAATAATTATTTAAATAATTGAAATTATTTGAAACAATGTTGCATTGCATCGATTTCGATGTATTAATCATTTCTTCAGAAAGCGATATGTAATGCTAATTTCAAAAGTGCTCTCACAGTAACAATACATTTGTAAATTTAAAATAAAAAGATCTGGTTAAAACTAATAAGATTTCACCTCGTAAATGATGACATATTATTTTTCTCACAACTTTGTACCATATATTTGTACATTTTATTTTAAAATAATTTTCAAAAACTTTTTTAATTATTCAGATGGTTATTGCGAACTAATGAGTCGTGGAAAAGATGAAAAAGCTAATCCTTGTTTAGTGTAAATAATATAAAAATTGTATTGAACGGTTTAACTTTGAAAAAGAAATTTTTGCTCCACGTTAATTTGTACTAAAGGAATTAAATCTAGTTGATTAAGAAATTTTATCAGGCATTACCAGAAGAGATTTATTTTTGAATGTTTTCGGTGCACAGCTCTTAATTAGTAAGTTTTATCGAGCTCGCACGGTCGTGCGAAGATATTCAGGATTCCTGTCGTGTTTCAGAATGGCCGGGGGCCTCTATTGCTGGCCGCGGCAGGTGGTCATGTGGAAGTGTGCGAGATCCTGTTGCTGCAGGGCGTCGACGTTAGCGCCGCTGACGATGTGAGTAGTGCTGCATAAATTTTCTGTTTTATTAAATATTTTCCCATATTTTAGAATATAGAGATTATTAGTTTAAGCAAACAACAATAAGAAACTATCGAATTTTCGGGATACAATACTGAATGTTTCTAAACATAGAATGGAAGAGGAAAATAGCGAGTAATCTTTGCATAAAAGCAATCTCGCACAAGTAAAACCTACATGTTTTCTGACAGAATTGATTGTAGTATTCAAATAAATTGAAATTAACGGCTATATCGAGAATTTTTTCGTTCTCAGCTTGGTCTGTTGCCATTTGTTTTACTAAAAAATGATATCCAACACAGTAGATTAATTTAAAATAAAGACAAAACGTACAAATTAATTTAAAATAAAAAATATCTCTGCATTAATAACAGTTATGCTAATACCTATTTTTCTTTACAAAATAATGAATTATTTAGATGTAAGAAATTAAACATCTTGCTTCTTTTAAGCTTAGAGAAATTGGGCAAGCATGAAGCCTGGCGAAATTGTCAAGTATTTAGAGTTTTTAAAAATATACAATTTTCGCAACTATAGAATTAATTTAGAAAGTTATATCAATCTTCATTTATGTGTTGATGTCAATTTCCTTTAGCATCTTCACTTTTGAAAAGTATGTATCGAATATTATAAATAGCGTGAAATTTTAACTACCTTTTTGGTTCTAAAATACTGCAAGGAGATATCGAAAATTGTAAATAATTATGGACAAATTAATGCCGTCACCATAATCGCACGAGAAAAATGGTAAAAAATAAGAAATTAACCATATAAGTTTGATAGTAAACGAAACTGATAATAAATTCTTGGGTATTTTTATGACAATAATTTTTTATATTACATGTAGATGGCAAATTTGGTAAATGTGAAAAACTGTAAAAATGTTCTAGGAGAGGTACACTCTATTGTATAATAATTATTCGGTTGATATCAATTCGATACCGTAAAGACTAACTCGTGCTCTTTCCCTCTTTAATTTTCCGCGTTCGTTTACAACATATTTATCCCTTCGTATATACCTCTCACGTATTACTTTTGCTTATCTAGCTGTCTGATCGGTCGTATCTTCCTAAAAAAAAGATACAAAAAAGATACCGACCGTGACAGGATTCGAACCTGCAATCTTCGGATCCGAAGTCCGACGCCTTATCCGTTAGGCCACACGGTCTATAAGGGGTAGCTACCCTATACATGAAGACCTATGATCAACTTTTATGAAAACCAATACTCCTGACATAGTTATTTGTTTGTACATTAATATCTCCACCTTGTGCTTACTTTAACGAGAAAAATTAAAAGAGAAAATAATTTGTCACGCAATGACCAAAATATCGGAAGGAGAAGCGTTCGCTGGTGAATAATGATTTTTACTGATAAAATATTTAGATGTGAAGATTATTTAGCAATTTCTCATAAAATGTGCATATCTCATGTCTCTCTTCTTTCTGACATTTCAAACTAATGAATTATCAATTGTACCGAGTGATATAAATAAATCAATATTTCTTTAACACATTACAATTGTAATAATTGTAACATAATTACAGTTTTATAATTAGACAGCGGTGCTACTTGTATTAAAATGAGTAGGCACGCATTACTTTACATCCTGCATTTATTTACAATTTGCACAAGCAGAGTTACTGAAAAATACCTCTTTGGAAACTGTCGTACGTGGGGTCGCGCAAAGAAATTCCTCCGCGCATTTACTTTTCCACTCCAATAATCTTATTTAATAATCAATAATTGTAGACTGACAACGGTCGCACGTGATATTAACAAAATGCTCGTCGCGTGAACGACGAACGAAAGCCCAAGACGTAATTTAACAGAAGAAAATACTTTTATTCGCACGTACGTCGTAGCGTCGCTAGGCCGTCGCGGCTGGATATCGAACATCGGCCACGAGACGACTCGTAAAAAGCACCGGAATACGCGCTCATGTTGCGCGCATACACATACGTGGGCTGAAATAAAACGAAATTATTCCCGATGTACGATACAACCTGGCCGGGGAATCGCATGCCCGGCCGAAGGAATCCCACTATTGTTCCACGGGCAATTAGCATGCCCGGTCCGATTCTCCTCCTCATAGGAGGGGTGAATACATTAAAACGCTCCTCAACGCGGCAACGTCCCGCCGGATATACCCGGCGAGCGCAGGCGTGGGAGAAGCGTTTATGCCCGCGAATGTGCGACAGCGTGGTTGTACACAACCGGCGTAGTTACGTACCTGGACACTTGATATCCGTTATTACAGCGTGACCTTGAATGAACAGCGGTGTTCACCGTGTGGTACCTGGTATCAACGTTATTAAATATCTATCGACGAGACTCGCATGCCTGTCTAAGCAACAGAAAATAACAGGACGGACCGACGGTATCGCCGCGATTAAGCGTTCAGGTGCAATGACAAAACTATTTTTTTTAACTAAGTAAATGGATTTACTTCAAAATTTTTTATACTGAAGTAAATATTTATTCTATTTAAAGATAGCGTAAAATTTTAAATAAATCTATGTATTATATTAAGTAAATTAACTTAAATCATTACATTTTCTACATTCAAATAAATATTTCATGAGATATAGAATGCTATTTGTTAAATGAAATAATTGCTTTTGTTAAATAAGAAATTCAATTTTCTTCGCTGTGAAAATTACATCTTAGTAAAAATTTTTTAGGATTAAAACAAAATTTTTTATTAATGTACAATATATATTTAATTTAAAATTATCTATTCTTTGATATTTAATGAATGCTTAAATTAAGGCAATGTATGTTTTAATTTGTTTATTATTTTTTAAATTTAAGTTAATCAGCTAATAGGAGCCACGTAATGAATAATTTTCTTGAGTAAAGTAATATTTTTTTGGATGAAGATATTTTTTTATCAGTGTGCTTAGCTCGTTAATCTAACCGGCGTTGTTGAAAATTAAATCATCACAACTGAATCATTACAATAAACTTTTCGGCTGTATTTTCTTAATTATTTCTTTCTTTCTTTATGAAGACTGTCTAATTTAAATGTAGAAAGAACTCAAGCGAAAAGGTACGCAGAGGAAAGTCCTCTGTTATGAGATAAGATTTTAATACGCGATAGCAGATTTTCGACGTCCAACTTTAATCACAAATCTTTTGTCGCTACGATTGCACAAACTAACAATCAATTTTCCGCTAAACGGATTTGATCCCAAAGGCAATAAATTCACGGTGGAACCAACAGATGACGCCTAGTAATTTAGCAGAAACTCCGCAATCTCATAATAGGGGACTTTTCTTTACTATCTCATTTCCCTGTAATGTGTGTGTGTGTGTAAGATAATAATTTAAAATACATAAATGCAACAATAAAATATAATTGAAAGCGCACTGATATTTTATGCGATAAGAAAGCGTATAAAAATATAAAATACTAAAAAAAAAAAGATTGCTCAAGTTAGCTGGATTTGAACTTGCGCTATTCGAAATTGTCCGCGATTCGTCACAATGGGACGTTCGGACGACAAGACGATGGTATTAAAGTAATAATGTGGTGCGAATGACGGAAAAGAAAAAAGTAAAAAAAATTTGTCAGAAGTGGGATTCGAACCCACGCCCTCAGAGAGGACCAGAAGCCTCCGACACACCCGTCATAGACGGGTAAGGTTACAACCTTGAGTCTGGCGCCTTAGACCGCTCGGCCATCCTGACATGTGACTCGACTAAGCGCTAAGAACGAATTTAGTTGTACCGACTGCTTCCCGTTGTCGTGCGATTTAATAATTCAATTGCAAATAACGATTCGAATTAAGTTTTGATATTTACTACACGTAAAAATCAATGCGCACAACGTATAATATGCCAAATGCTTTTAAAATAAAAAGTATTCACTTTTTAATTATATAATTTGTTAATATTCATGTAAAAATGTTTAAAATTTCAATAGATGTTTATGGGGAAGTGTATACTTAAATCGCGCGCTCTGTGTGCGTGCGTGTGTGTGTGTGTGTGTGTGTGTGTGTGTGCGCGCGCGCGCGTGTGTGTGTGTGTGTTTAGAGAAATGCATGTGAACCATTTTTTTAATTAATTTTATTTTACATTTGCAATAAAAATAATTGAAAAAGGAATTTATGAGTTGTTTTAAAAATATTGTAAAATTTAATATTATTTAATTAGCAGACGTATGCATTTAAAACTTTTACTTATATTATAAATCATATGCAAATCGATTGCCTTTCCACGCGATTACTTATTTAATGAAATTTGTCTGCCTTTTAATATTTGAAAATTTGAAAATAATTCAAAATAAATTATTTTGCAAATTTCATAAAATTTATTATTATAATTAAAACACATGCAAAAATTTTATTTATATTGCGCTTTAAAATCATAGGGCGAGAGATTAAATCTGTAATTGAGATTCTTGATGATGAATCGTAAATGAATCGTAAATGAATCAGGCGTTTTCCCAGATCATCGTTTCATATCTTTTTTTATGCAGTTGGAGAAAAGAAATAAGCTATGCAGAAAGAAAATATTCTTTTGTTGAAGAATTTGAAAAATAAGGCTCGTTTAAAAAAGTTTCAGAGAATCAAAAATTGTCTTAAAAATTTTTGGTTCTCTGAAACTTTTTCTTCTCCTTTTCCGTTGCCTTTCTCTTTCCGTTGAAGCTTGACTTAAACTGCAGCAAATCATACTAATATCTTTTTAAATTATCTTCACCTGAAGTTAGGAATTTCTTGTTTAAAGTGCTGCATTTCTCATAATTTCCGAGTCACGTGTGATTATTAAAATATGTAAGACACTAAATATTTTTCTGATCAAGTCTCTTTTTACACATATGCAGTACCTATATACAAATGTATGTATCTTGACATAACAATTATACAACTTACTATTATTATATTTACTATCCGAGTTTGTAACAGCAATAATTAGCACGATCAAGTTATTTCAGTAAAGTTTTCAAAGTGTCCAACGAGACACCCTATATACCGGGTAGCATTGTACACGTATGGGTTAAATGTGTGCGGCGATGCTGTCGCGAGTGGCATGGCACGGTTCATCGACCAGCGGACTGTTCGCCGAGTATGGGCGAGCGGTTGTAAGTCTCTCGGTCATCCTCTTTTGCCTCATCCGCCTTTTTCCTTTGTTGCGCTACACCGTGTACCGTACACCAGTTCTGTGAGCACCAGCTGCGCGACCGCGCGCTGTGCGCGCGGCATGTCATGGCAACTTTTGTGAAGTCGTTGGCGAACCGATGGGGATTTTAATTTAGCAACGTGATAAATTTCGTAGAAAACCGACATTACGAATGGAGGGCTGCCTTAATTGTATATCATTGCGATAAAACTAAAAATTGAAATATTTTTCAAGTCGTAAGACAGTTTTTAAATTAAGTACAGCCGTTTATTCCGCGACTTAAGCTTAGACGTCGCTCTAACAACGCCGTACTTGGTTCACCATAGCTTTCCACCCTCTAAAAATTTTTAATTTTTTGAAACAGTTGATCGCAAAAATTACAATATTTTATAAAAAAGTACTTTTTTGGAGAAGTTGGTATTTCCTCAGTATGGAATATTTTATTTCTTCATCCAAGTATGCTCCTTCCTTTAAGTTTAACGAGCTGTTTGCACAATTGCTATAAAAAATTTTTTAACATTAGAGTTAAAGTAGGACTCTCATTAAAACTAAACAAGAAACAAGAATGGCCAATGCGAGTCAATGCAGGATGTAAATAGCTTATACTTGTAATTTTTAATGAATTGCGAATTCATGTACCATAAAAGATTCATAAAAAATTTCTATTTCTAATTTTAAATTCAACATGTGAAGTTAAAGCTGGAGAGACCAACTTTCTAAAGATTATTTACAAATTGGATAAAACAGATTTAGTAAAGTATAGCAAATCTTTGGCTCATCTTGTAGTGTATAAAGAAAAACTGAAATTAAATGGTGCTATTGAACGCTAAATGTAGCATCGGACGGGGATAACTGTTGAGATTGCGATGAAAAAGATAATAGAGGCCCAGAAAACATACTAAATTGCCGCCGCATTTGCTCTGCACGGACTGACTAGTGTTACTAGTTACTAATGATAACGACCATTATTAACGGATATTACACGTTGCTACTTACAGAACATGAAGTAAAACACCAGTCGAAGATATTCATACATGTATTCAGGATATACAGGGTGTCGTAGAAAAGTTAACTTTACAAATTCATGTGAATCCTGATTGCGTTTTTATATTAAAAAATTTCTAACCGATACCAAGAGCGGAAAAGAAAGAGGGCGCGAGGAGGGAGAGACAGTGGGAACGAAATTTACATTTTTAATGTTATGCATGCAGTTTTCTAATTGCAATTTATCGAGAAACAGTAGTCTTCTTCTTTCTTCTTCTGAAGAAGAGGATAGCACAATTTCCTAATGTAGATTTCAAGAATAAGCCTCGCAAATTAATTACATAAACTTTCTTCATTTGTTTGTGCCGGAAACAAGAGAAGCAAAGTGGAAAATAAGAAAAATGTAAACCAAATAGATTTTCAATGACTCTCGATCTATCCTCTGCAATAGGAAATAGAGATAATTTCCGTTTGAGATCTCTCTTTCTCTGAAAGGTACAGCTAGAAGAGCTATGGCGGAACGTACTGATACGGGGTTCTATATGTTTAAAAGTTCGAGGATTATTATATAAACAGTTATATAAATTCCATGTCTGGGATTGATCCGTGCCTCTTCCGAGACACAGCTTATAGTTTGGGCCGGGCACCGAGCGACCGTCGATGAATACGTCTGCGTGTTTTCAGCATGGAAACTCGGCACTGCACGAGGCATCATGGCGTGGTTATAGTCGGACCGTGGCGGTTCTGGCGAAGGCCCTCGGGACCCAACGGGCCCCACTGCACGCCAGGAATCTCGCCGGATTTGCACCGCTTCACCTTGCCTGTCAAAACGGCCATAATCAAAGCTGTCGAGAACTCCTCCTAGCCGGCAGCAATCCCGATCTTCAGAACAACGTGAGCGATCTACCGATTCTTTTTTTTTTCTAACTGCTTTATCGTGTTTATCGGCGCGTGGATCGGAAGATAAGGGAGGCCGAACCTTTAGAACTGAACCCAGAGACTGCATACAATAGTACAATCTTGCGAAATTTCATAGAAATATAGAAAGATAATAATGTAAAATAATAATAAATATGCAGAAAGTAAAATGCGCGATGGCACATTTGAAATCATGTGGAACATGATAAACAGTTTAAGAGCGATAATAATATTTTTTAGGTGAAAATTTCGTTTGTAATAGTTGGTAATAATATTGCAAAGTATACTGCGATTACTATAGAAATAATGAAAAGTATGGAAAACGAAAAGTTACGGCTCTACAGAGTGTCACGAATTATATTTATCCTTTAATAAGTTCAAAATCTTTGAATTTAATTGTTCCAGTATGGTGATACTCCGCTTCATACCTCGGCACGTTATGGCCACGCCGGCGTAATGCGTATACTAATCTCAGCTCTGTGCAAGGTGTCTGATCAAAATAAAGTAAGTATGAGATTTCTGTTAAATAATATTTCGTTGCTCTTATTTACGGATGCTTTTTTATCGTGGATTCAAATATTTCATTACTCGTATACGTTCTTAGTACTGTTTTCCTTTACGTTCTTTCTATGAATTTTTATTACTTAATCAAAATTTTTAGAAGTTTTTTATCTTTATATTAGTCACAAAAGTTATTTAGTAATACTTAAATTAAATATTTTATCGTTTGTCTAATTTTTAAACCCCTCCTTCTGTTTTTTAAAGTATATACATTCACGACATTCTTACAATATATTTCGCTTTCTGTTATGTTTTTGCCAATTTCTAATCGCTCCTAATTAGTAAATAAAAAATTTGGTTGATTTCTTCGTACGTATGTTTCACTTTTAAAATGTCGTCTTTGAAAGACGATATAAACCTGAAAGTCATTATTTGAGCTCTTTCAAGAGATTGCAATCATCGTATCGGGCAATTACAAGGAAAACTAGTTAATAATTTGCTTAAGTTACTATGTTGAGAAATAATTTAGCAATTAATTGATGTATGACGCTTATATTGATTCATTTGCCACACAAATAATTTGTTTGCGCTTTCTAGAATGGTGACACTGCTTTGCACATAGCCGCAGCGATGGGTCGTCGGAAATTGACGCGCATTCTCCTGGAAGCTGGTTGTGATCGAAGTCTACGGAATAAACAAGGCGAAACGGCAAAGGATATTGCCCGCCGTAAGACTCATACCGAAATCTTGGAAATTATTTCCAAGGCACGCGGCAAAAGCCGGACACGCAGCAAAAGCCGCGAGGGTGACTCGATAGATGGCAAAATAGACGACGGTAAGAATAAAGTTTAATTACTAAATTAGCTTCAGTTAATTGCATTGCAAAGAATGACACTATTATTCCTGAACATATACGCCAGTGCAGATGTTATTTTGCAAAGAATCTATGCATGAAGTAGTTTGTATGAAATTATCAACGAGCTATTTAATATATTTTATTGCTTTGAACATTTTATCAGGTAAGGCAATGAAGTCGGACAAAAAGCGAGAAAAGACCGGAAGTGGTACTAGCGGTGGCGGCGGGAGCAGCTCGAAGAAAGACCGAAAGAAGTACAAATCCAACGTAAAGCAGCACAAAGTCCGCTTTGAAAAAGCTATCATGGGTCGGCAATGGTCGCCCTATGGCTGCCACTACTATCCGGACCCGGAAGCGTTCCCTCAACCCCGTCTAGATTCTCTACCCTCTGACCCTTTAGGGCGGGGTGAACAGTACTACCTGGACCTGGCGGGCAATATCAGAAAGGGCCCGGTGGGCGTGGGATACACCTGTTATTGCGCGCCATTTTTCCGACATATGGAGGCGAAGCTGGAACGGGACAAGGCCGAGTTGAAAGCACACATCGATCAAGCTCACGAGAAGCTGGATATGAAAGTGGCCAATCTGGAGAGGAGGACCAGGGGACAAATCTCGGAGCTGACTAGGTGCGTTCAGGAGGAGCGCTCCAGGTGCGACGAGAGGTATTCGCATCTTCAGCAACGTCTACAACGAGGTGGGCGGGGTAGATATAGCGAGAGGCCAGCGAAAACCAATTACAGTCAGGAAGTGATACTACCAACGAGAACAAGGTCTCTGGAGGATCTGTTGGATGACCGACCGCAGGATCGCAGCTTCGAGATTCCCGGAGAAACACCAGTTCATCGTGGAAGTTTAGATGATCTCGATATACCGGCTATACCTAGACTTAGCACGTCCATGAGAGACTTACCTTCGGGATCCGGAGTAGCTAAATCAGCGCTCAGAGTGCTGGACATCCCTCCGAAATTGAACGAGACGTTCGATGGAGTCATTAGACAGGGTGGAGCCTCGTCCTTAGACATAGCGCCGACAGACTCCGTTCCTGTGAAGGGGAGACGTCAGCAGAGAGTAAGATTGAATTATATTAAATATTATATAAAACAGTAATTGTACATTAATGGTTCTCTGTGGCGATTTTAAATTGTAATTTAATTAATTATTTTTTGCCTTGTTGTTTTTCAAAGAACCCGGTAAGGAAATTATTATCAGTTCGTTAGCAGTTTGCCGATAAAGTAGTTTTGAGTGGAAAACTGCGATAGACCACGGCATTAATTGCGTTCGTGTTCACTCGTGTTTCGTTAGCGAAGAATCCGCTGTTATAATCTGAGCAACATTCTGCTCGGTCTCTGCTGTCATGTTTCATTCATAAATTAAATTATGTAATTATACTAATATAACATGCTACACTCCAGTATAATAAACTATAATTTCTTAAACATCTATAATGGTATACTGTTGACGAAATTTGAAGCAGACACTTTGCAAAATCTTTTAATAAATTTAATTGCTTGACAATGCGTCATTTTGTTAGAATAAAAGACTTTGCAATAATAAAAACTTCCAATAATTGATTAATTATCTTATCTTAAAATAATGTACATGGAGAAATGAAAGTGATAAAAGTTAATCTAAATACGTTTGTCTCTTTTTTCTAAGAGTTGCGTGTCGTATGACATGCACAGCATGAACATGTCCGTGGATGAAAATAAGATCCAGAAGATTAGCGACGGGAGTATGACGGAGTGGAACGGTCGCCGCAGCGTCCATGAGATGATCAAGCGGTTTCAGCAAGTACCTGATATGCATAATGGTTGGCGAAGAATTTGCTCCGGAGGCAGTGAACAGGCCAGTCTAGATGAACATACCAAGTGCTCGCAAAATCAGAGGGTACATTCTCAAGGTGATATAACGTCTTCTGAATAACAAAATACGCTAGAGTTAACGAGATCATAAAAAAACTGGCGCAGCCCGGTACAGCTGCGGGGAACAAAACAATATATTCGCTTTAATGTATTTTAGAAATTGAATATATAATAAAATGTTTTTCTAACATTTCACAAGACACATATCGATTTTTCACGCTGCTCTCGACGAGCAATTTGATTCGACGCCTCTGACTCGAATAATCTGTCCTCTATCCTAAACGATATTAATGTCGCAGATAACGAGAGCGAGAGCAGCGAAGGCGAAGATGACGTTGAACAATCGAAAGCATACAAAGAGATGAACTGTAGAAAGGTCATCTCCAAAGACGTGCCTTATGACAGTATCGCGAGAATGCCGTACAGATCACGTAATCCCGTGTACAGTCCGACACCGCCTCTTCACGACACTCATAACGATTCTGGATACAGCACACGCATGTATGGCTCGAGCAAAGGCGCATCGCCCTCGTTATCAGGTAAATAAAAAGACAGTGCGATTATTTTAGTTGAGCAATGAAATGTACTTCAAATATGTATGAAATGATTCATTCAGAAATTCCGAATTAATTCGAATTTCTAAATTATATGTTGGGACTTTTGTTGTCGCTAAAAATTGATACATTAAGAAAATATTATACAGAGACCTGCTCTCATCTCGTTGCAGGCCAACTGGAATGTGACGTGATCTTGTCACCTTCGACAGGCTCATTCACAAGTGGGGAACAACTCGCTGCCTTGTTGGAACAACCAAGGCGACACGATCTAACAGTTTACGAGCGAAATGCTGACAACGTCGTCATTAACATTGGCACTGCCAGTTTGGTTTAAATGAGACTTCAATCGAAAGGAATATGACTTTTGAAATACATAACTGTATGTCACACTGTACATAATACATAACATCGTCCTAGAAATGTTGAAGTAATGATTGTTTTGCTGTTAATATTGGCACTGTAAGTGTCATATCCGTTCGCGTTGCCATGATATCTATTATACAAAAGTAAAAATAAACGTTAAATAAAATGAGCAATAATATTTATTGTATATGCAAATGTACATGTATAGGTAGATATATGTATAATGAATAATTATTAAAACAATTGAGAAAATTAACTCGAACGCATTGTCGTAATTCTCAGTAAATTCTGCAAGTTTCCACTAAAGTCCTTTATACGTGACTGCTGTAAATTATGACAAAATACATTGTCAATTTTTATTATTCATTGATCGGCTAATAACACATTGTCACCAACTCCAGAAACTAAGGCAATTATTCTTTTAGAATTTTCAGTCAATGCAAGTACGAATTAATCACAAATCGGAATTGAAACAAAAAGCGTATCTACTTATTGTAATACAGTGGTATACAAAGTTCAATAACTAAACGAATAATAATAAGATTACAGATATATTCACAATATATATACAATTTATATTTAATATATTTACAAGTGCTTATAATAGCATATTTGAAGACGCACCTACAATCAAAGTACAAGAAAAATTTATTAATAACAGTGACAAAATCAGTTGATAAATTACACTTTAGAATTTGTCACAAAGAAGTAAAAAATATATCATTTAAGTATACTTATTTACTCAATATTATCTTTAATCAATCAATTACATACTATACATATCTTAATGCCTTATTGTTATTATAGCTAATATATTGCCAGGTTTTTAGAAAAAATTCTTCCGGCAGAAACACGGCGTTGCTGGGATGATGCAATAATATTATATTTTTAAATGTTTGTCAAAAAAGGATAATTTGCAGCATATTTTTCAGCCAGTAATTTAGTATAAGCTTTTCTATTATTGGATTATAAACATTATTATAATCCAAAAGTAAATAAATTTTTCAACAGAAAGTCAAACTATTCATAGATTGACACAGTCTGCGAAATATCAACTCCTCAAGTACCTCTATTACACGGTCGTATAATAGAGCTTTTCCATCGGTGGCCCATAGAAAATCCAGATGGGTGAACAATTTATACGGAATTTGTTCCAGTAGAATAATGTTCGGTAGATGCTTGGATGTCTCGAGAACGCTCTGGGAAAAAGATTATGAGAAACAAAAATTATTGATAACTATAATGAAAAACTAGTAAGATTAATCTTAATAGTCGCCAGCAGTATTAAAATTCTTATTGCGAAAAATATTACCCCAGCCAGGATTCGAACCTGGGACCTCCCTACAATCCGCGACGCCCGTCACGGATTGTAGGGAGGTCCCAGGTTCGAATCCTGGCTGGGGTAATATTTTTCGCAATAAGAATTTTAATTGCCAGATACGGTCAGTAAAAATCCCTGAATTTGTTAATTACTGCTTTAATATAATATAAAAAACTCAATTTTAATTGCCAGATACGATCAGTAAAAATCCCTGAATTTATAATGAGAAATGTAAGCAATTATCTTCTAGAAGGTTTCTTTGCACATACATGCGTACATAAAATTAAGATTAAGGAATAGAATAAGAAAAAGAAGGCAGGTGGGAGGAAGAAAGCGAGGAAAGATATTCTGATAATATCGTAAAAAAAAAATCATATAAAGAAAATATTTTCAATCTTTTATCTAAGTAGCTCGCGTGAAACAAATAAAGGTCTATCAAAGAACTACAGCCTTGGCCAAAAGTATTTGCCACTCCCTCAATTCTTAGAAATGTAACTTCTTTTGACTCTAACCGACTATTTTGTATATTGTTGCGTATCGGCAGTGTGCACATTGCTCAATAATCTTCAACTTGTGGTGGCTTACTCTAAAGGATAATATTATTTTGCTACAAAAATGCCAAAAACGTGCAAATTGGATTTAGCTAAACGTCTGAAAATACAATTGCTTTTGAGGAAGGAAAAAATAAAACACGAATATCGCAAAAAGAGTGAAATGTTGTCATAATACTGTGAGATACAACATAAATTGTTATAAAGAAACTGAAAGTCATCAACGGATATTGTTTATTTAACCTGAATGTAAAGTATTTTAAAGTTATTGAGGTTTCACACAAGTTGCAAATATTTTTGGCCAAGGCTGTACATGCTATATAATTTATAAAATTTTATTTCCTTTTTCTGCGATATACATATATTTTTCTATCGAAAAGTTCAGTCAAGTTTTTATAAAAATGCATCAATGAGTAAGTGAACTTACCGATTTTAGATCAAGCTGATCATTGTCGCCGTAAAATAAAGCCATGGGGGCGGTAACTTTCTTAAGATCATAAATCAGAGGGGTTGACTGTCCATATTGCTTGTAATTGTTAAAATATCCATAATCGTAAGCTTGAAATTTTTCTGAAACAATCAATATAAATTACTTTAATTTAAATTCTACATAAATATGCAATTAAAATTAAAAGATATTTACAAAAAGTACAAATTTAAATTTTAAGTAAATGTAAAGTATCACGTTGCGACTAATCTACTAAAAAGACTAACTAGTAGGACAATTATTTTATTAATGAAAATAATAAGAAGAAAGTAAACATAAAAACTGAATATTAATAACCAAGATTTTAGATACTTTTAACGCGTATATCTCTTCTTTCATAATTAACATCTTAATTTATATTATTGTATTTCTAAAGATGAGAGGATCGCTCACGTGTAGCAATATTTTGGTAAAAATGATGAAATGTCTGTACGGAAGCGCCGCTCGGGAAATGTGATAATATTTCTGGTAACATCGTCTGCAATAAATATCAGTAAAAATAATTGTGTTGTATATTAAGAAATAAAACTGTATTTATAATTTTTACTAAACTACTGTTGTAACTGTTAGTCCTAAAAAATAAAAGCAGTAGCAATATACTATAATTAGCAAACTGGTGCTAAGTTCGAGATTAGAGATATACATATAACGTACAGTGTTAAGTTGTGCTGGGTCAGATCCGGATAACAAAAAAAATATTGCAATGCAGACAGCCTGGGTAACTGCCGTATCTGAACATAGTGTTCTTCCGATAGAGATGCTCTTTGATGACAAGGTAGCTATTTCATATATTCCGTTGGAATCTAAAAATCCCTATTGAACAAATATTAATGTGTGATTATAAGAAATATAAAAAAATCTAAAAAAGATTTAGAAATAACAAGATTTAATTTACATAATCAACGTAATCACTTTGTTAAACACTTTGGAGTAAATCGAAATTTTTTTCAATTATGAAAAATCCACAAAGTAAAAATCTTAATGGTTGCTATTAAGTATACGATAGCAAAACATTTTATAAATGACTATTTAATATAAAAAACTCACAATAAAATATACAATATTATAAAAAATAATGTTTTATTCAACTAATTATTTACTAAAAATGGTCTGTACATAACGTTATTAATTATAATTATATTAATAATAAAAATAATGACAAAATAGTGCTAATAAACATTATTTTTTCATTAATCCAATGCTAATATAAAATTTATACTGTATACATGGAAAATATACTTTTATACAATTTTGACATCTCTTTACCTTTAACTTTGGTATTCTATTATAAATATGTTCCACCGGGGTAGATATTTCTTTCCAAATACCGACCGGAGCAAGAAGGATACCCAATTTTATTTTCACATTGTATTCTGGTTTCGTGGATAATAAAATAAATAATGTAGTAGTCCCCATTGAGTGACCGACATAGCGTAGAGTCTTTTGTTTTGTGTTACTGAGTACATAATCGATCATAACTGGTAGGTCTTTCGTTCCTATCTCGTCATAGCTAGACAATAAAAGCGTAATTTTCTATTTTACGATCTTTTTGGATATTGCAAAACTAATAAATATTCTTTTAGGTCCAAATTTTTCAACTTAATTAGAATAAATTTTCTTTTAATAAAAATATTGAGATATACAATACATTTATGCACACTATTATAAATGTTCATATTTTTGACTATAAAAAATCGATTTTAACTAGTAATTTAAAGAGAAAGAAATCTTTAAATTAAGTAAAATGAAAGAAATAGAAATAGATAAATATAAAGCTATTTAATAATAGAATAAGGCTCTGACGAATAACAATCAATGAATAAAAAGGCTAAGTGCCTTGACTAGAGTGCCTTGACTAGGTGTTAGTATCACAATAATAAAATTCTCATATATTTAAAATTTAAAACATAAAAATACAAACGTTTCGGCCTTTCTCTAGGCCATCTTCAGTGTATAAAATAAATAGAGTATAAAATATAATTTAGATATAAAGTCAAAAGATAAAAAGATAAAAATCGCTCGCAACGCAAATCATAACAGCTGTAAAGTGTGAGCCGTTTTTTTCGGATTTATTAGCTGCTGTAGGTTGACAGATCGTCGTCGAGATATAAATTTTTGTGTTGTAGAGGTGGTAAAAGTCGAAGTCATCTTTACCACCTCTACAACACAAAATCCGAAAAAAACGGCTCACACTTTACAGCTGTTATGATTTGCGTTGCGAGCGATTTTTATCTTTTTATCTTTTGACTTTATATCTAAATTATATTTTATACTCTATTTATTTTATACACTGAAGATGGCCTAGAGAAAGGCCGAAACGTTTGTATTTTTATGTTTTAAATATATAAGAATTTTATTATTGTGACACTAACACCTAGTCAAGGCTCTTAACCCTTTTATTCATTGAGAGCTATTTAAATTAATAAAACGTTAAAATTAACAAAGATAATTTCATTAAAATGGTTCTTGTAAAATAAAATTTTACCTAAATTGCCAAAAATCTTTATTTTGTGGGGACAGTTTTACATGCGATCTGCAATACGAATTTCCCCTGACATTTCCAACCCACACATCATATCCTTGATCAGCCAATAAAAATGCTATAATATAAAGTAATAATGCATAACTGGTTCTCTTATCATAGTATCAAATTAATTATTAATAGACGTATTTGCTGATAAAAATGTAGTTGCTTTCTTCTTTTTTCAGGACATATATTCTGTATCTCTATTCTGATAACTTTACTTATTTTAATATATATATTTAATATATATATATATTTACTTATTTTGTACTTATTCCAGTGAGTATTATCAGTTTTTCCAAGTTAGTTTGTTAATTCAAAAATTCTGTTAATTTCATTTATTGTTTCTTTTAATTTACAAAACTTTGTTCTTTTTAATAAAATAACACAAGATTTTTCTAACAAAATTATTCCAGTTAAACCTGTGCAAAAATTTACACCAGAATTATTTTTTACTTTCGGTTATTTCTGCATGGTTGTTCTTGATCCGTATTCCCTGCTATATATAAGCCGACTAAACTTCACTTTCACTACCGAAGTTGTCTTACTGTTGCCATTATAAGTACTTGAAATTTAATAATGTCAAGGTGAACATATTGATCGTCAATGATACCGCCTGTAAATATAGCTATCTAATAAGTAGTTATTGTATGTATCTATATGCACAGAACTGTTACTTTAAATATTGAAAATTTCACAACTCATACTGTTAGAAATTTTTTTAATATCTACATAAATAAATATTTCATGATTTCACTTTCCATAAATCCATAATAAAATCGTTCGGTATGCCGCGAGTAAGGCAAGATTTTAGGATGAGCAGAAAGCGAAAATAAGGAGTTTCTCGAGGTTACATTTATCGCTGCCTGGACTATAAACTTAAGTTTGAATCTGATTAACATATTTAATAGTAATGTTGCTAAATTGGCGGTCACTTACCAAGGTCTTTGCCAGCGCCGATTGACACCCAGGAATCGGATGAACCCAATAAACCGTGTTGAAGAAATATAACTTTTTTTCTCTGTTGATTGTTAGACAAAGGACTTCCTGATATTCTGTGTATCACCAAGTTGTAACCATCTTCCGTTGTGACGTAATGCTCCTCGGCAGGGTAACCGTATCTTTCTACTAAACCGATCTACGTAGACACGTAGAATGTTAAAAAAAAAGGATTCGAGATTTCTCAACAATCCTATTGTAATACTTTCACACGTAATATTTTATTATATACGTAATGCTTGTTGGATAAAATAACAAGGGATATTTATTTATGCAAAAGAAATAATATTTCCTTTAATAATAATAGGCCTTGAAATCTTTTTTAAATATCTTGTACAATTCAAAATAAAATCTTATTTCATAGACAACATTATTTTATTAAATTGTTTTGTTGTTTGAACAAAAGAAAATTTGATGGTGCTACCTGCTACTGGCTATACGATCCTCGATATACAATATCAAGATGTCTTTGGCATCAACAAGATTATTTCATCTATGTAGTCTTTTAGTTACGCCATTATTTTTTTCAAGTGCGTCTTTAATGTGACAAATTATTAAAAGGCAATTTCGATACACTTACAAAATCCAATGTGGTTACATAGTTTGCTTGTGTCACGATCTTTTCTGGTTTCCTTACTCTTACTACATTGGGAGTTTTCGCGAACAGATAGTTGAATATTGCTTTCCGAGAGATTGCTAATTGTAAGTCTTCCCAGAAATTTATTTTCGCTTCCAGCAACACTACAGTAAGTATAAGTACGAAGGAAACAAGTTTCATGTCCATTCTCATTATATATCGTTTATACTCTCGCTATTATAAACTATAACTTGTAAGTACCCACAATATTATTCGATATAAGTACTGTGGTATTCTGGCGTCTTTGTATTTCTAGAAACCTACAAATGCAATTAGGATTAGTTTATTTCTCAAGTGGTTTATTAAATTAAATAGTTTATTCATTAATTATTTGTCGTTGATCTTCCTTTAATTTTAAAGAAATTGGGATAAATATTCAGCTGTATTAATGATCAATCTTTGACCCGAAATACTTAGTAATTAATTTAATAATATTATTAAAAGTTGGTTTAAATGAAATCACGAAGTTTTGTTATTTATTTAACTAAGTAAACTTGAATTTGTTAAAAGCAACAATTTCGTTTTAACTTATTATTTTACTAGATCAATAAATTATGTATTAATGTGTGTGACATTTTGACATTAAATGTTTTGTATATTTATCCCGTCACAAAGTATTTCAAGAATTGACTATTAAGCTCATGTTTTGGCAGGTATTTTTGCTATATGCGCTTTAATGAATTGTTTAATGCGCTTATTAAATAAGTTAATGTATAATTAATGAAAATAACTTGATCTCTCCACCTGTTTTCAAACACAAAGTAACGTAAGTTTTATAAATAACTGGATGTCTAATCCGTATTTCCTAATCATTATTTGATTATGCGTGTGGTTGTGAAATTGTAATACGCAAAACAGGAATTTACGTAAAGGCCAATTGAGCAGCGAGAGTAGGAAGGTGAAGAGGGGCCACCTGGATTTTATCTGTGAAAATTGCTAGTTCTGGATATGGAAATCAACTGTGGTATGATATATAATTACGCGCGACCTATTAATCGCCTGGTTTTAAAACTTGTCATTAGGATTTGAATTAAAATACCTCCTTCTAATTTTTCGTTCTAAATCTTTTAATAAGGCAGGCAAGAGAATTCTTTGAGTTAATCGATTTAAGAAAACATTATCTATTTAAAATTTATTTATAATCAGTCAAATTAAACAAAATTAAGTCAATTTTTAGAATTGACTTTGTGCAAAATTAATTCTTTCTATCTAAATTGAATTTTTGCATTTTAATTTTTTTAAATACTCTGTCTTATTTGATTTTATATAATTTTTTATATAAATTTTTATATGTTATTTAAATCTATTTCAAGAACAAGAAAGATTTGATGCAGAGTGACATAGGCTCATCTTAGAAGTTATTTTCTATAATGTTTTAAAAGGTATAGTTTAAGAAAAATGACACATGCAATAAATGTTTATGCATTTTTTATAAAATTACTGTCATTCTTCTAAGTGGAATTATATCACTTTTTTCTCATGTTCTTAGATTTTTCTTTAGCTGCTCCGTGTGTAAAAATATTAAAATAAAATTATAAAAAGGTTAACAGTCTACAAAAGACGCTCCGTGCTTTCCAGCAAGCGACACAAGTCGACACAAATGTCGTTCTGTCTTTCTTCGCATTCAATGAATAATAAAGACAGAACGACACTTGTGTCGACTTGTGTCGCTTGCTGGAAAGCACGGTCTGTCTGCTATTAACACATTTCAGTATACAGAACATAAAAATACATCTGTGCACACGACGAAGCGCACGGATGTTGCGTATGCGATAACACGTATTGCTCTTTTTCACACCTTTTATTTTTCAAATTTTATAATATTCATAAAGTAAAGTTAATTTAAACAATGAAATATTGAAATTTAATAATTTGTAACACAATAGTCAGACTCACTAGGTTTTATTTTATTGTCCTTGTGGATTTCAATGGATATTTTCTTGTCCTTTTGCTCTTTTAAGCAGTGAATTCTTTAATTTATATTAAATTTCTGATTTATTAAATCATTAACATTCATATTATAAATGTTGTTAATCGCTTAATCTATTTATTACCACAAATTTTGAAACTAGAAAATGATAACTTTAGTTGCATGTTTCTATTTGTTTTATATTATCCAATAGTTTTTACGTACATTTTATTACGTACATTAATATACTTACCAATGTAGTCATTTTGAAAACTTTAAATTAGCGCTCAAAAGTTGAAAAGCACATTCTCAGCAGTATGTTGTTTGATCTTTACACTTGCAAATCGTGTTTTGGTCTCACCAAAGCATAAAAACGCTAACTGTCACACACGGCGGATAAGTTGAAACTGTAAGCGACGCGCAGCTGTGCTCAGACAAATATATATGCAGAATCGCTGCAGCCTTACTACGATAATCTGGCATTATATCCTCTGAGCCGTGTAAATTTGTACGAGAATTCACCGATATTTCGAGGCTGTCGACATTATCAAGGAAGACCAGTCCTGCTGAATAGTCGATTATTGTCTGATTATACCAAATCATTGATGTTTGAATATTTACAAGTAACCTTGTCCTTTTAGCTAATGTGCATAATCTGGAAATAATTCAACGAGAAACAAATGTTTCTAATGTGTTGGAGTTTCTAATTGGTGAGGAGAAGAAGGTCAATGCGAGCCACGCGCAGGTGACCGTGCCAAAAAGATCCAATATGGAACTTTTTATTAAATTTTTAATTTAAAATGAAGGGTGGATGATTCGACACCACTGGCAACAGGAAAATCTCCTTTATTGGCACTAAAGGTTTTCCTGTTGCCAGTGGTGTCGAATCATTCACCCTTCATTTCAATATTTGCTGGCGGAGAAATGTTATACTCTTGTTTTAATTTGTAATTTAATCAAACATTTCGACCCATTTTTTGGGTCATCCTCAGTGAAATTTGTTTCTTTTGTTGGTTTGTATATAAGATATTTATAACAATTGTTTGTATGTATAATATATTATATTGATGTATCTATACAGGCAATAATATGTGTATAGAATTTCGCATTTGGTTTGGAAATTTCAATGAATATAAAATGATATATATTTTCCGCGTTAGAATTCGCTCGTTCACATTTTTTTAGCGACTACATGAGTTAACGTACCTGTCACTATACTCGTATACATTTTATCCTTTGTGTTGATGGAATTTGTTTATGATCAAAATTTTGATCTGATTAGTGCGAAATAAATTAAAACATTTCTGCACTCGAGATTGCATATAATGTCCTATTAAACTGATTTTACAAACAGTTTATCATTGATTGGACGCTTTCAACGTATAAGTTCTTGAATAATGATACATTGTGCAATCCAAACTCGCAACCTCTTTCCAGCTCATCTCGCTGTATGTCAAATTTAAGTGTGTTGGTCATTCTAATAGAAGCTGTAGAACACATATAGGCATATGGCGTACCGACTCCACGTGTATTATTGCCATAAGCTAAAGAATGAAATTATTTCAAAGTCGAATAAAACATTTTACACCACTTATGCATCGAAGTTTCTTCTACGAGCATTTTATAACTTTGAACACATAATAATATACGTTTTTAATTACTGTTATATTCAACAATATTTTTAATTAAAAAATCTCTACTGTAGTTTTTTTAAAAATCAAACTAAGCAGAAAAATAAAAAAATGTTGTTACTAATTTATGCATATGATTTTTACGATTTTTGTTTACATATAGTAGCTTGTATTTAGCCAGTGTTTAAAAAGAAAGAGTATTAATTTATTATTGCAATGTATTGATACGCAACTACATCTTGTGCAATTTGCAAATTTAAATCTGTTTAGTTTATCACTATTTGATACAAAGTTATATAGAATGATGAGTTCCATCTTTATACGAGGAGATCTATCTACTTTCGGTTTCTTCCACCAATGCATTGTTATATCCAGTTTTATTAATGCAGGAAAAGAATGAACTGAGTTTAAAACTCTTCTAGTCTAGTGAATCATATTGAATTCCATGGCGCGTTTTATTACACCTGCTGTTTTATTGTTTAAGAAAATCGCAATGCCTATTATTTTCAATTTGCGGAAAGACACAAAAATTTTATTACGTCTGTAATAATCTTCTCTTATTTGTGTTTCCTAGATAAAATTCGCAATAACGTCTCGGTTCAACCCAATTTCATAATATGCTTGTACAGATTTAGTATCCTATATTTCCTGTATGTCATAACGAACAACCGGCTGGGTACCGTGCGCTCAATCGCCCATAGCCTCACACTTCTGACATAACTAGAGACTAATAGAAAGTTCATGAGCGGGACAATTTCATATTTTATTTAAAGCATTTATCAACATTACATCCAACGGGGCATCTCGGTATATTTAAAGAAATTATATCTCTGTTATAGCAAATCGAAAATATAACTTTGAAATTTTTCGATCCACCCTAATCTACATGTCGTGATGACTATTTAAATGCGATTCTAATGATACACATTTCCGATATTTATATTAGCGATATACTGTATGATAACGAAATTCTCTTTAATCTCTTTAATAAAATCTCTTGAATAAAATTCAAAAATAGAAAATATGGCAATGCTAAAATATTTTGCAATATATTAAATTAGGCTAAGACGCCCGTCACGGATTAAGGGAGGTCCCAGGTTCGAATCCTGGCTGGGGTAATATTTTTCGCAATAAGAATTTTAATTGCCAGACACGGTCAATAAAACTCACTGATGTTATTAATTTATTAATTACTTCTGGCGACTTTAAGAATATTCTTACTAGTTGATATTAAATTAGACCAATAACTTTTGGATCTTACTACAGTTCTTATCAATATACACTTTCTATTATCTTCTAAATGAAACTGTGTTTTGTCCGAGAAGAAACCGGCGCGCAGGACAAGGAAGTTACATTTTAGATTACAATTATTGGGCTACCAACATCTTACTCGGACCTAACGGCGCTCTCGTTTGTTTGATTAATATACATTTTGTTATGTTTTCTAATTTGTTCTATAAATTACATCTACCAGGATTGGGAAAATTACTTAGCAGTTACTTTCTTGCGATGAAAATAAAAATATCAAAAATCTGCATTTGAATTGTAAAACGTTGATAAAGGCGTTCATGCGCAAATGCATCTGTGGAGGTTTAAAATATATGCAAAGTAACAATTAAATTAGTTACTAAGTGAAAAAAACGTGAGTGATGTGAGTTAAGTTGCAGTTACAGACGGAGAGAAAGTAACGAGGTTAAGGTTAAGTAACGAGGTTACCAAAAAAAGTAATTGTAACAGTAGCTTTGTTATAAGTAACGAGTTACTTCCCTGACATCTACATTTTACAGTCCTGGAACGTCTCACTAGATATCTTTATATTTTAGTTTTACATATTCACTATATTAAATCCGTTACTTCCCTGATGGAAAAAATTTGCTGAAAACGTAATGAATTTTGCTGAAATTTGGTTGAAAATCTCTTGCAATTGACCCAATTTCATTATCATTTCAGCAATTTCTCATTAAAAAATTTATTTTCATTGAAATTCTGCAAATTTCATAATATACAACATTTCTAAAATTTTTTCACTAATTTTTAGTAATATTAATTAACTTTCATCTAATTTTACAGTATTTCATTGAATTTCATAACGAAACTTATGATTTATTTTGAAATGGTTTCAACAAGTTTCCAATAACTTTCATTTCACTTTTCATCAATTTCATTACATTTTCAGCAAAATTTTTCCATCAGGGTTTAGATTTAGATTTGGATACCATAAGATATTTAAAAAAATTCTACAATAGACAATTTCATTAGAAACACTACATTGAAGATATTTTACTCTGTGCATCTACCGTCACAGTATAGACTCACTATTTGAATTTGTATTCTGATCTCATTCATCTTTGTCGGCAATATACAATATAATGCTGTTGCGTAAGTGTATTCATTTTGAGATTTATTATTATATCGTCAGTCAATACTTCAGTTAACGATCGTAACTGCAGTTACAGAAAGTGGACTTTGAGAGCGTAACGCTTATTTGCATTTGAGTTAACGTTGCGCAATACTTGATTAACAATCCAATACAAATTAAATTACAAATCACACGTTTCGGCTCCACTTTGGTCCAACAGCGACGTGTCGATGGATAAATTAAATAATCTCACGTTCTTCGACAAGCGTAAGGCAAATGTTTAAAAATTTATTTTACGCTTGTTGGAGAACGTGAGTTTTTAAATCTATTATTTTATATATTATTGCGTCGATAATTTAAAGTGAAGCCGAAAGAATTTTACACGATAATTTTTAATGTAGGTAATTTGTATTGGATTATTGTTAATTTAACTGACAGAATAGCTCGCAAAATATCCAACGATATAATTTATTTAATTCACTAATCTAACGTTTCTTTTCATCGCGATGAAAAAAATAATTATTCTAACTGCCAGGATCTAAGAAATTCTATGTAAATTTAAAAAGCGTTATAAAAATCAACACAAAAATGCTGGAATTGGAACACTTTTGTTAATCTTCGTTATATTCTACAAGCAGATATTTTAATTTTTTAAGATTTTGTTGCTTCTCAAATTTTTTAAACCAATAAAGTTTTTATCTCATTTTTACAAAATTGTACATTTTCATGAAATACTACTTGCACAGTTGGAAAATTTGTGTCTTCTTGTTAAAAAAAATGTCGATTAAAATTTTCGTGTTGAATGTTTAACACACTCATGTGTTAATTTTATTGCTCTTGTGTTAATTGACCTCAAATGTAAAATTATTAAAATAACTGGATGTGTGCTTATAATTTAATTAAACTGACACAATACATATGTATGTTCGATGTTATTTTTTTTGTGGTACTATTTCGTAGATATTTTTACAAAAAAAAATAAATGTTTCAACGAAGATATAAAAATTTCTACAAATTTCTATTTCAAGTCAATTTTTCTAGTTATTTTGTAGAATTTTTTCCATATGATTAGTTTCCGCCCACGATAAAATAGATGTGATGGCGCTACCGTCAGCACAATTTCGCATCTTTAAAATAATAATAATTAAAATATACAATAATAAAGAAAATGATAACAAATAAATTTGCTGCTTATATCATCGAAAAGTTTCCTGCAAAAGGATGATTAGAATAAATAATACGTAACGTAAGGAAAATCCACCTTACGCGGCGCGTTCGGCAGCAATTTTACCGGCGGCGCCGCGGGGCGAACGTGGCCGCTTGTCTCAAAATGAGTGTAGGCGGCGATATCGAGCGGGGGAATTTTCGCAGAGCGAGGTGTCCCGCGGACGCGGCGAGTGCCGGTGTGGTCGCCGTCGCACGCAGGACCCGTCTGCGGGGATACAAAACATTTCTCGCGCGCGTCCTGGGAACACGTTAACCGCGCGTGCCGTGCGTTCGTCGAGCGCGCCGCGATCGTCCAGGGTGTCCTCCGGTATGCTCAGCGGAGCGAACGCCATATTATGAGCCGGGCACCTTTCCGGGAGAGTCACCTGAGCGAACTCGCGTTCCCTCGGCGCTCGCACGATCGCTCGTTGCTTTCCGCGGGCGTCCTTCGGCCTCGGCACGGATGCGGATGCGTGCCGTTAGCGCGAGCGAATGTAACGGGGTTCCGCGATTAAGATCGCGATCCGTCATCGACCGTCCATTGCGCGGCGGCTGGGCGACGCGCTGTCAAAAGTTGGTTTAATCCTGCCTGGAACTGGAAGAGAGAGAGAGAGAGAGTGTGTGTGTGGTTAGGCCTCAAAGTATACATACACATACGGTACACGTATTTTGCGCAAGCACGCTCATAATGTTGAATGCGAGTCCCGCGGAGGCACGCAGGTTCGAGCCCACGCAGGTATTGCTCAGCATAAGGAAGCGCCGATAAGGTCAGGCAAGATTGAGGGGAGCAGGGAGGCGCGGCAATTATGTAAAAGCGTCAACGGGAGCGTCAACATGTCGAGTCGCGGGCTCGCCGGGTGGCGGGAAGCGCGTGGTGCACTGTGACCGGTGTCCCGTAACGTCGGCGTGTACGTGATGACCTGCGTCTCGATGTCGCGCACCGTCGGGCACCCTGCAGTACGGAACGTCGAATCTTGCGCTCAGTACCGCGGTTGTTGACGCGCGACAGGGATCTCAGATGCCGATGATCATGGCGCAGGAGAGCGAGAAGTATCCGCTTCACAGATGTATATTTCAAGGGGACGTGAAGACGCTCAACATCTTGATCAGGACCCACGACATTACCGAGAAGGATAAACAAGGTTCGCCTTGACGTCGGAGCGTTAATTCCGTTCCGAGTCTGCTTCCTCTACGTCTCTTTATTTACGTGTATTTTGAGAGCGAGAAGCCAAACGTTAACCCTTTGCATCTCCCTGTTGCAGGAAATACACCTTTGCATTTAGCTGTGATGTTAGGAAGAAAAGGTACGGACACGTCTTATCTCATCGCATTGGAGCATTTAGAGTATTTCAAGAGTATCTTATTACGTGCATCAGATATCAAAGACGTAATATGCACTTTGATAGTCGCATCGTCTGCAAAATTCACAAGTTGAAATTCTTTGTTCAGGTTCCCTGGTTTAAATGACGAAATATTAAGAGCGATCCTCCAGTTGGAGTAGATTCAACGTATACTTTTTGTTTTGTTACGTTGCAGAATGTGTTCTATTACTGCTTGCGCACGGGGCACCTGTAAAGGTGAAGAACCTAGCTGGTTGGAGTCCACTGGCCGAAGCAATCAGTTACGGAGATAGACAAACCAGTTCGTATAAGATAGAATAATAAATCTAGATTTACTACTCTTTGACGAGAAACGTCGTGAAAAGAGGGGAAGATCTAGCTAAGACTTGTTTCGCAGTATCATCTTTAGTACGTAAATTGAAGCAGCAAGCGAGAGAGCAAATGGAAGAAAGGAGGCCGAATTTAGTTGCTGCGCTGCATCAAATGGGCGATTTTTATATGGAATTAAAATGGGACTTTCAGAGTTGGGGTGAGTTTCTCACGCGCTCCTTTCGGTCGTTTAATCGCGCCATTATTTTCATTGCAGAATCACGTTTATCGCAGCGTACGCACCTGAACACGTGAATAGCGACGATCGAAATATTTGTTTCCGTACGCGTGCGGCACATCAATACTTCCGTAGCACTTTTTAGCAATATGTTTTTCCGCTTTCGTGTGATTTCCTTCCATTAGCTGCCGAACTGTACATTTTACTCCCCACTGCACTTTCCATAAATTTATATTAACTTGCGTGTACTTAATTTTCTGAAGATGAGAAACATGGCAAGAGAATTAAGATTTCAACATTTTTATCTCTGTCATTTGAACCCAACATTATAAATAACTTATAGTTATCACGTTTAATTGTTTTTCTTTTATAAAAAATTGTACTTAAATGCTTATGAAAAAATTAATATAAATGCATAAACAAATGACAAAAATTTGTACATAGTTGTCACTAGGAAAAACAATTTGTTCCTCGAGAACGAGCGTATATCTTGTTAAGTTTGTAAAGAGTTCTGGTATTAATGTCTGATTCAGTCAAGCGAATCTTACGGAACTTTTGTTCTGGATATTCTGCATGATTTTTGACATCTCTCTGTCTGTCAGCCAATGGTAGATTTGTTTGTCCTTTCAGTACCGCTAGTTTCGAGAGTGTTGCCGTCAGATATATGTAAGATCCATAAAAGCGGAGCTTCAATTAGGATGGACACGACTCTCGTAGATTTTAACGACATGAGGTGGGAGAGGGGTGACATATCTTTCATCTTCAATGGTGACCAAAAGCCTAGCCATTCACTGACTGTCCTCGACAATAAAGCCAAACTTTTCCAAAGAGTGAGATATGAGGTTAACAGTCTATTTACATCTGTTTTCTTTATGTTTATGCTTTTACATACATAGGATATAAGAAAAACATTTTTGTATCCATGAATTTTGTGCCTTATGTGTATATGATAAAGTCTTTAGAATCTTGATGTTCCTAATTTACATATACAGTAATAAATTAGTTAATCTTGGACTATTATTTTATGTCATGTAATAACAAAGTGAATTCTAGATGGTGTCATTAGTTTCTTATTTACTTTATTATATTAATTCCATAGATATATATTAAAATTATACACTTATATTATGTATTGAAGCAATCTATTTTTGTACGCACTTTAGGAAACGGAGCTTGAGATAGAGGATGAAGTTGATATTCTTATGTCTAGTGATATTATGGCAGCACAAATGTCTACCAAAAGTATCACATTTTCTAGAGCACAGACAGGATGGATTTTTAGAGAAGATAAGAGAGTGAGCACATTTTTTCATATTGCAATACTAATAGTAATAATAAATTTGTATAACGCAATGTTACATGCAATATATAATAGAATATCCCATACCAGTCATGTTTTGAATCCTTCAGAATCCTTTAACGATTTAGGAATCAATTCTGAGATGTTTAATAGTCACAACATTGTTGCTTAAGAACGATATGATAAAATTTGGACGAAGCAATATTGAAGTAAATATTTTAAAAATTTAGGAAATGGTAGGTGCTTTTCACGCTGATTTTTATCAAATCAACGGCATGGTATTGGAAAGTAGAAAGCGTCGTGAGCATTTAAGTGAGGAAGATCTTCAAAAAAATAAAGCTATTATGGAATCCCTTACTAAAGGCAGCTCTCAAGGATTTAAAAATGGCGAGGTAAGATTTCTACTGCAACGTTAAATGCATTGTTTAAGGTTTCTGTTTCTTTGCTGCCATATTAAATTGTAAAGCTATTAAAATTAATTTTTTGGTGAGCCATCGCGCACGTTCGATAGCATAAGTTAATACACTAAAGCTGTAAATTTTTATTAATTATATTCTAAAGTCCATCTTCTGAAAATTAAGAAACCTGAATTTAATTATATATAATTTCACTTGTAACATTGATTACTTTTACGATAGATATCACACATGAAAGATAAACACAATTATATAAAATATTTCGATATACATAATGTTACTGTATATATAATCAACAATTTTGAATAAATGTAACATTAAGAATAAGTAAAATATGATAAATTTATACCTAAATATTTACTTAGCCTCGCTTTTGATAAAATAGATTGAGCACTGTATTATTTTATAGATTAGCCAAAAATTGGTATATCGTGGTTTACTATTTTTGTTAAAATTAATCATATTTTAGAGTATATTTTCTTATATCTAAATATTGACTTAGCCTCCTATGAGAAGAGCATCATTGAATCCACCACCAGAATCGAATATAACGTGGGACGAGTACGTCGTTGCTCCGTCTGGTCAATGCCCGCTTCTAGGAAGAAATCTCGTTTACAAGGAAAGTAGTAAATCTTTCAAAGCTACTGTGGCAATGAGTCCAGATTTTCCCCTCACCGTTGACATGCTACTCAATGTATTGGAAGTTATCACGCCATTTAAACATCTAAGCAAATTACGCCAATTCGTACTTATGAAGTTGCCACCTGGATTCCCAGTTAAGATCGACATACCGATTCTGCCTACAGTCACTGCTAAAATAACATTTCAAGAGTTTGCCTTCCGAAACGACATAGATCCAGAATTGTTTCAAGTGCCATCAGACTACTTTGAAGACCCAATGAGGTAAATTCGCTTTTGATAAAATAGATTGAGCACTGTATTATTTTATAGATTAGCTAAAAATTGGTATATCGCGGTTTACTATTTTTGTTAAAATTAATCATAGTTTAGAGTATATTTTCTTATAAATACATTTCTATGATTGAAGAAATTTTATCTGACCGATGTTCATCAATTATGACCGTATAAAAAAAATCTATAAATATACAGTGATCTTTATTTTGGACCTTTTGACAACATAACACGAATAAGATATATATTATATTAAAAGTTTCGTTTCGCATATCTTAAGTCTGAAGCACAATAATACATTTCAGAGGTTACGGTGCGTACCTAACTATGATGATGGTTCTTCATACCGCGTCATGTGCTCGAGGATAATCTTCAAGACAAAAAATAAAAAAAAAAGCATTATGCGCTACCGCAAATTTCTATCGTTTTTAACAAACTTTTTGTCTCCTTAACAAATGATGTCACTTTCGTTTAATTAAATTATGTCAATACTAATAGAATACCTATACAGAATTGTTTATTATGGCTAATCAACTTTTGATATTTGATAATTGTAATATAAAGTCGGATGCAGCAGTGGGTTTATTATGCTTGCTTGCTATTTTTACATACATTTTTACAACTGCCTGCGGCACTCAAAGAATTTTTTACATTCGTAAAATACAGCTAAAAACTTATATTCTAGGATTTATAAAGATATAGTTAATACAATTTAACATTGTACATATATACTCGTCTGTGCAAGTATTTCTCATATCATTTTGTAACACTCGCACTATAAATGACATTGTTTTACTAATCATTAACAATTGCTTTGCAGATTTCCAGACTTATGACGCTTCGACATCCTAATATTAATCAAGATCCAGCCTAGTCGGGGTCTGTTTTCTTCTATGCTAGGGGGACAATCTGGCTTTCGTGATTTTAGCCAGTCTGGAAAGCATCTACGCGAGTCCTTATGTTGTTCATTGAATAACTTATTGTCATAATTTGATCACAACTAACAGCGAATAGTGTCGAATATTTATGGGATTTTCAATAAGGAAGTAAAGCTACAGAAGACAAATCTGTACTGAAATCAGAGAAACTTGCATAATATTTAATACCTAACTCAATCACGTTTGTCTACTTGATTTGCGGCGCATATTAATGTTTATAGAAATAAAGATCATTCGTATGTCGTGTTGCACTCGAAAAAGTATATACTATGTACGAAGAGTGATGTAATCTGCTGAATTTTCAAAACACCGCGTTCGGATTTCTCACCGTTTAACTGTGTTTGAGAATTAAATGAATAATTTCTCACACCAAGAAGTCTTTCTTAAACTCGTGTTGGATCACGCATCGGAGATTAAGAATCGCATATTGGAGATTAGAGTTCAACCGATCGGAGAAAGCGAACTAAGATTAAGTTATCTGTTGGTAAAAGTTTAATCTTCTATTCTTAACCCTCGATTTTCGATGTCTGCTCTGATACGGGCTTTACGATTCTCGATCTGTCACTGCAATCATATTGGATTATCGCAAATTAGATTAGGACGATTGTTATACACGATTTTGTGTCTGCGATATACGTAAATGCTTGTTAGCAGTGACAGATGGAAAAACAACTTTGATAAATTTAATATATTTCTTTTTGTTTTTATTAAGTCGTGATCCAGTATGATTGCAGCGATTAGCCAAAAGGCTTAATAATCAAGCAGAGTAGACTAGACGAATATTGCTATATTTGTATTCTACACTTTTCGCGAATTACCTACTTACTCTAATCAGCGAAGATAACTGTTCATATTTATTTCTTCGCTACTCTCACGAGCAATATGTATTTTTACTATCGGAATTTCGTAAATACTATAGCATTCAATTGGTCATGTAAAAGAATATTAGACTTAAATATATTCTTCAGTATTATCGATTTACAATTATGTAGTTTATACTATAATGATTGTAATGCTTTTCTTTCTTTTTTTTAGTACAAAACAACGTTTTTAACGGCTTTTTAACCTTGCATGAGTCAACGCATAAAGTCATCTTTAAATATAACTATTCGTACTCATACCGCATTCAGTATTAACTATCGTTTACGTAATTCTAAATGTAACTACACGAAGTATCTCACGATTATATCTACAAAGCTCTTTCTTTTGATGAAAATTTTATCGCATGTCATTCTTACCGTAGTTTTTTAACGTTTTTAATATAAACACCTTGGTATACTTGGGTATTATACTATATTAAAATACTACGGGAATAAGTAATTTAAGTGTTCATTACAAAATGCACGTGCATTTCCCATATATCCTAATAAGCGCCTTAACTCATATACCTCGGGCATTAATGACCCCGGGGTGCATAATTGCGTTATGCCTAAGCGAGATACGTTATTACTTGAAGAATGCGAAAGTATGAGTGCGGATTAATTTTCCTCCTCGCTACCAAGTGACCCTCCCGAACAATCACGACGAGACCTAGCTCGATCATGTTTTTGCGATGTTATGGATTTTTCAATGAATAATAGACAGATTTCGAATGAACGAGTGGAGTTTCCTTGCCCATTATTTAGTTGTATCAATTATTATTTCTATTACGTTTTGTTCTCAGTTGATTGTACAATAAAAAAAAACGCAAACATCAATATCAGTATTTTTTATATCGATTACAATTCTTAATCATTAGATATAAACTTATAAAAATATCTATGATATTTAAATATTTGGATAAAGGGGGAAAACGGTATTTGATGAATCTTTGACTATATGGTATTCGAATATCAGTCAGATACAGTCATATATTAGTCAAATCTTATATTCAAAACAGTCTTAAGATCATCTTTAGATACTCGGTAGCCAATGAAATGTTCCATACAGCCCAAGCAGAACATATTAGTCATGAAAACATCAAGATGACATTATTTTTGGATCATTTTTTATGCATCGTGGTGACGTCAAAATAGCCCACCGAGAGCAACTATTTGTGACATAATTAAGACATCGAAATGTTGTAAAAATGATCTTGTTTTATAAAACCAAGTTAATTAAATATTATACATTAAAAATAAATTGAAGTAATATAAGATAAACATAATATATGACTGATCATGTAATCTGTAATAATATATTATTATACTCATCACTAATATCATTAAACAGCATGTCATAAATCAGTTATTGCAAAGTAAATCTTGATGTTGATCATTTTATGACTTAAAATTCATCATTTTAATGTCACATTGACGTTTTTGTGATTAACTTGTTCTACTTGGGAGCATCTTTAGATAAATTCGAGACGGTCTTGAATATAAGATCTGACTATGAATACCAGCCTTAAAATTTTGTCAAGTTGGAAAGAGAGAATGGACACAGGTGAACGGCGTAAGAAGTTGAGCTAAAAAGAATAGATCTAGCTAGAATCGAATGATGCTGGTAAAATAGATCACAATGAGCCAAATTTCTCACCAACATTCATACCACGTTGTCAAGCACCAGTTCTCGTCCGATCACTGAAGTTAAGCAACGTTGGGCACGGTCAGTACTTGGATGGGTGACCGCTTGGGAACACCGTGTAACGTTGGTACCCAATTTTTTTGCATTTTATTATTATGGCGGAAGAGAAATGTTATATTCGAATGTTATATTATATAATTTATATAGTCAAAGATATGAATTCACATTTTAGATTACAATTATTGGGCTACCTACATCTTGCTCGGACCTACACGGCATTCTCGTTTGTTATTTGATATTTGTCTTTGTATCATTCCTTATCTCTTTTACGGTTTGCGTATCTCCTTAAGAGGATCCTTCAGCCATCTTTTTTGCCGACACAGTCAAATATAGTTTTTGCGCTTGTAATTCTTTTGATTAGCTCTTATGCACAAAATAATACTAGGATAAGTTCCGGACCGCATAGCAGAACGTTTTCATACTTAAAACATTCAGTTCAGAAGTCTAATAAAAAATTAAGATATTGGTATTTGAAAATTTCAATTTGCAGTTCTAACTAAATTTGAAATTGGCTTTATAAAATGGCAAACTTCTTCCACACGATTAAAGTACGCATAAAGACAAAACCAGGAACAGTCATCTTTATAATAAAAATAAAATGACAAATGAAAAATAAGATCAATTAATAAGTGGAAATTGTCAGGAAATAAAAACTGAAACAGAAACTGATACAGAATGATTGTGAACAATCGAGATTTTGAGATTTATTTAAAAGAAATGTGTTAGAATGAGAGAGAATGATAATGTGTGTCTGAAGGTAAGATTTAATAAAAATAAAAAAATAAAATATATATGTATAATGTAAGAAGAAAAGGATAACGCTAAATGGCGCGCGCGTAGCGCACGCAATTTATTGTTCCTGTTTTAATAAAATTTCGATACGAACACCTTGCGGTCCCTTTTTCAAATTGATTTATTACCCGTTTGAGCCTTTATTATTTACTTTTTTATAATGCAATATCGTCATATTAATGAACTTGTTTCTCCTTTTTAATGCATCTAGGTGTTTTATTTATATTAAAAGATCCGAAATTCCGCGATTCTTTTAAAACTCATCGAAAAAAATGATGTAACTTTCTTATTGTTAGTTGCGTGTTCAATTAAAAGGACACTTGTGTACTAATCGCAATACGATGCGTGGGAAAGAAGGGGCTAGCGGAATCGTTATGCGTGTTATAATACTTTGTGACACGCGAGTCTACTAATCGCCGTGTAATCCGAGCACGGTCATCCCTTGAAGTAAGCCGCAGTGTCACGCGTTGTGCGATCTTGGACTACTTGTGGCCAATTTCGCGGCCTTCCCGTTGGCTGACGCAGCCGAAACTGAGAAGTAGTGCGTGAACACGCCTCGCACACTTACCTACGTCCATTTTTATCAGTGCGGTTAACTGCAATCTCAGTTTCACTTACTTTTTATCTTCTTCTAACTCTTAGAACTATGAAAAGATAAAAAATAAAGTTCATTTATACGTTAGTAGAGTTGGACATTCTTTTAACTATGAGAATTACCAAAGTGGCCAAAATAGATGATTTAAAAAAATAAAAATTACTCGAATTTATAATGGTGCATCTTCCGAGATTTTCCGTGACTTGCCGCAATACGGAAATTATTAAATTAACCATTTTCCATTTACTTTCTCCCTTTATGTCTCTTTAACAAAATTTATATAATAGGAATTAAAACCATTAATTCTATAAGTGTTAAAGAAAAGGAATATTACGATATCTGAAATCTTAACAAGTCATAATTCTCATTGACTTCTTCACTACTTTCATGTCGACTTTAAGAGATAAACTGAAAATTTACCGATCCATTTACTGATACCACAAATTCTTGGTATATATTTATTTAAATTTTGTTTCAAAATGACAATGTGTGTAATGAAAGATTAAATACATATCGTGCTGCTGCGTGCAAATGCAAAACAGAGTTGGGATTTAATTGCAACTTTCGATTTTTAGATTGCACTGTCTCGTCGTTCGCCAGTTGCGCGCAACTTTTTTGTTTCGCAATTGTTTTAAATATCTGATGTGTCTTATTCTTAAATAAACTCTACGGAAATAAAGAGTGATTAAAAAAGAAATGAATTAATTTAAAGGAATGACAAATTAATTTATAATAAATTAACATTACCAAGAAATTATGATTATTAAACAATATTGTATTACGTATTTTACTTTCTTAAATGTAAAAAAACAGATACCTGGAAAATATTAGAAATAAAGATAATTTAATCGAAAACTGTAGTTTTAGGAAAAAATTATGACTGTCTTCTGATTGAGAAACATTGTTTGCCTTGTAGCAAAAGTGCATATATGCACAATACAGAATTAGGATGGACACATAGGTGCTGATAAAGTTTCCGGGAAGAGAAAGTCTGTTGTCTTTCGGATTATTGCGAAAGTTCCGGCTGTTTTTTGCATTTACGACATGTATGCGTTTTGCGTAAGACTGATATCTCTAAAAAAAAGTATAGTACGCTGAAACAATATGCTCTCTATTCTTGAAATTAGCGGAAATGGAATTCCATAGGAAGTAGGTGACTTGTTAAAGGCATACAAAAAATGAACCAAGAGTAAAACGTTTTAATGAAATAATATGTTTGGACTTTATATAAATTTCAGCATTAAAAATTAGTGCGTAATTATAAGAAATTAATCTCTCTGGCAACCACAAATCAAATTAAGAAACATATAATAATATAATAAATCATGACTGTATATAGAAATGTTTCTACACATATAGAAAACATTGTTATATTAAACATTCATTATCATTATTATGACATTATATAATTAAAACCGTATAAAACAGGTTTTTTAAACATATTATAATATGTAAGATCAAAAGAAAATTACGATATATTGTTTAAATATCTTAGAGCTAAAAAGTTCGACAAGTTTAATAGCGGCCGATGTATTTTATTTTAATTTTCGATATTAGATAGTGATAATTACGCATAAACATTTAAAATATACTCTATGGTAAAGCGAAGTTGGAATTAAATAATTCCATTACTTATTTTATTTTCTTAAATGCAATAAACGAATAATTGCGAAATATTAGAAATAAAGATGACCGAAATAATAAATAATACACTACTTTCTTTTACGAGTGATTAAAATTTCTTTAGAAAAAAGTTACTATTGCAAAATGCTCTGACTCTAACATATAGGCGTGAGGGGACTTGCGCGATACTTATATAACAACATCCTGTACCTCGGAAACTATTGTGTGTGTATTTGAACGGAAAAATGTAAAGCGGAAAGATAGTTTCCATACCTTTGGGCGTGTCTCACCGATTCTTGTCAACGTCCTTGTCAGCGCGGCGGCTCCTTAGAGCGACCTAAGCTCAAACAACCGAGACCACCTTGAAGTATGAAGAGGGGCATATTGACATGTTAGAGGAGAGGATATATAGAGGTTTTGCACGCTGCTATGTGACGGATTATCCTTCCGTGTCTCGAACACTGTGTTTCTCCGAAAAATGCAAGTAGTGACTTCAGCAATATGAAGCTGTTCTTTGTTGTAAGTAAATAAAATATTTCTTCCCGGGGGGGGGGATTTATAGTATTATTGAAACTAAATCTTTTTCGATACATCCCCTGAATACTTTCCGAACTTAAGAGTAAGTTGATATTGTACTAAATGATTGCAAATTGAACTGTCAAATTTGACATTGAATTGCTAGCTTAATTTCAAGTGCTTTTGATATGATCACAAAATTTGATAAAATTAACAAAATTTTTTAATATATAAGTAACTCTATAAACACTGGGATACTATTATGTACATATATATATTTTTAATTATTAAAAAATTGCATATACATATGTATATTATATATTATGCTTACAATATTCTTAAATTTTTGTGTAATATTTAAATGCTTTTTACAGATATCGACTTTCACTCTAATTGCAATATGCCGCGGCGCGGAATCCGAATCTCCGGACGAATTAAAATTGCTGACAAAACTCACTCCGATAAACAGTGAACAACGTATATATTCGGGTAACACACGCAATCATGAAGATTTGGCTACATCTGCGAGTGATCGAAGTAAGAGAAAATTTATACATATTTTATCGACATTTATACATACGTGATTTACGATTTTATGCGTGATCGCAACATTTATTCTTACTTATGTACGTTCCTATCATTATTTATGGCACTGTGGACTTATTTTTCTTTATGAGTAAAAAGAAATAGGAGTTCTTGCAACGATAAACGATTAAAACGCGGAATGATTCAAGGAGATCGCTAGCGCATGACTACAAGCAAGCTTTTTTGATGTGACAATTTAATCGCACCTTCGTTACATAACGTAATAGGGTTTATTGTACACGAGCATCATTCTATACATGATTGCATTAATTATTTTGTAAGTTTTGAAACATACTTCGTTGAGTTAAGAACTTTTGAGAGTCGCACGAGATATACGGAAGTACGAGAAACACACACGCATTGAAGTATTTTGTTTGAAGCTTTGTGTGAATCACCTTTATTTCTTCCCGAGAGCAAGTCCTTCGGGTGACTCGTTATATTAGCATCTTATTACAACTAGTGATGTTTTTTCCGCTTTTGCAATGGGAAGCGCCCGACTTTCAAAGTCAGAGCGTGAGAATGGCAGTGACACACTTACTTAATATGCTGATTACTCATCGCACTACCTTAGATACATCGTGGATATGAATTGCGATCGATTATTATACCTATTACGTTTACAATCTTATTCTGCATTCTGTATGCGTAACTTCCGTAACTTGTACACGTTTAAATTTCCATAACTCTCTTATAAGTAATTCCTGACAAAAACACATAATGAAAAAATTGTTTTACTAATTTTATAAACTCTAACAATGATGAAGAATGATATATTGTTTGCTACATGAGTTTTCCGCAATAAATTTAAATTCTAAGCCGCAATGTTAATTATTTTGGAAAACCTTAATTTTACACGGTGTGTGAAAATTAAATGGAGAAAAGTAAACAGAGAACGTATTAAAAATTGATAGAAAATGAATAAGCAGCGATATTTTCGATTTCAGTATCAGCCGCTTTCTTATTGCTTAGTAATTATTTTAAACTAAAGAGTAGTTTTTTTCAACTGTTTCTAAAATTATTTTTCTATAATTGTATTACTTTGTTTGCTTTTGTAATATAGTCCTACAAAAAAATATTCGTGTTAGCATTTCATATAACAAAAGGTTATCCTGGAGGATATCCTGGGTCAATTGGAGGATATCCTGGGTCAATTGGAGGATATCCCGGAGGATATTCTGGACTATACCCCGGAGGATATTCAGGATATGGTACGGGACTCACTGGATCAGTTTATCCTGGTTCATTATATAATAGTGGCAGTGTAATTCCAGGTGGCGGGTAAGTTTTATAACGGTTTTTACATGTATACAGAAGGATCATTTGAGAGAAGGAGAACATGTTCATTTAAAATATCAGCTGACACTTTGAACTTATAAATATTCATAGATAATGAATCTACTATGTATTTATTAAAAATATTAACATAAAGTTAACGCTTATCGTTTTATATTATCAAGGTTCGGATTTTTATTCCACTTTTTATAAAGAATCAGAAAATAGATATACAAATATGAAAAAATAAGAATGTATATTAAAAAATAAAACATATAAGTAAAATAATAAAATACTAAAGAATGATATATTATATACAACGTATTTAATTAAGAGCAAAGTACACTTAAGAGGGAAAAATAAAATATTTCATTGCAGATATGGGTATTATGGAAACTACCCTGGAAACGGTGGTTATGGCGGATATGGTGGTTACGGGGGAGGAGGTTATGGGGGTTATGGGGGTTATGGGAATTATGGGGGTTATGGAGGTTATGGGGGTTATAGAGGACAGGGAGGCTATGGGGGTTATGGCATCAGAGGCTACGATGATGGTAATTTAGGATATGGACGTGGTGGTTACGGTCGTTATGATGGATACGATGGTTATGGTTACGGAAACGCATACGGTTCAACATATGCAGCGAGAAGTCCTTATCCATATAGTTATCGGACTGATAGTTACGGCACTTCTCTTAGCAATCCAACCGGTTATCGCGGTTATTCATAAACTTTGTATATGTTTTTTTACGTAACATTTACAAATGGTACAATTAAAAATGTTTTCGCAAATTAATATGTTGGTTTTAACATATAATATACACCTTTAGTAATAAACAATTAATTATATTTCTAAGATTTGCTGGAGTATGCAAAAACTGTATAACATATTTCGGATGTAACACACACAAAAGAAAAATTACGATATACAATAATTTTATAATGCAAAACATATAAACTGTATTGAAATAAACAAATTGATAATAATTGTAATCATATTGTTTTCCTGATATTTCTCGTCCTTTATTTTATCTATTATAATATTATATCTATTAAATTATTTATTTAACAATAACTAGTTTTTAATGGCATTTCATTTACTTTTAATAAAGCATTACTTTTGTCAATTGATTTAAAGTTATTTTTATTAGTTATTGCTATTTAAATTGCTACTTGATACAAATTTACGTCGTTTATTGGTTTGATAATTATCAGCAATAAAATGTGTAAGGAATAGAAAAGTGATGTCTACTTACATACACATTTTTTATGTTTTATTACAGTAATCTCTACATATCTAATGCATACATTAATATACATATACTATTTTGTATATACTCGCTTTTTCGGAAAATCGAATGTAGAACGTTTCAGAACAATAATTTTAAATCTCTATTATGAATCTTAATAATAAATATCAGGATATTGGGTGGTGTCGAAATGCATAAAGTCTAAGAATAACGTCCATGAACAATCTTTCTCTATAGTTTTACATTAAACTAAATATTGAATAACCACAATAAATATAATTTAATATAAGCTTTGTAATTTTTATTACCTTCACATAAATTTTAAGATATTGCGTAATATTAATTCAAAATTAATCGAAAGAGCAGAAAGTTTACTATTTATCTGTCTTTTACGTGGACAGAGAATTAATTAATTAATTAAGAGAATTAACAATACTAAGGAAATTTGCTATTAATTCAATTTTTAGTTTGAACTTTTTATATATTCTATTGACTTTGGTTATTCCCGTAAATATTTTTAATTTGGCCATCCATCAACTAACCAGCAGTTGGCGGACGGGCAATGCCAATATCCTATATTTATTGCTGTTTTCCAGGAGAAAATGAGTTTGGCCTTTTAAAATGATCGCAACTTAAGCTTAATAAGTTAGTGTTACACTCCTCATTTCGCCTTTCTGCTTTTGCTTCTTCTTCGCTCGACAGTCTTAACTGGAACATTCAAAAAACCAAGATTGGTTTGATTTAATGCTTCTTTGAGATAATCGATATTGCCAAGTTGGTTTATGTCGAGCGTTTTTACAACGAATTTGCTGTCTTGTGTATCACATGTGTCGCATGCATATGGAACAGGAGTGGCGGACGGGAATATAATTTTCATCCTGTTGCTGTCCATCTCGTTTCCAGGACAGTATGGTACGAAGATAACAGGAATGAATCCCAACTGACCAATGACAGAGGTGAGAGCCGAGCTGGTTGCTACGTTTGTGTTGTTATTCGGCTCGACTAAGTAACAGGGACATGCTTGTGGATTTGGCCCTATAGGTAACGAAAAGGGCTTGACGTTGATGGAGCTGGGCGGTTGAACCCCGATAGCGTCGAGAACGGGATTCGTCCGGAATGTCTGCTCAAGGCGTGCATTTACCTGTCTTTCCGGAGCAGGAGTAGGTCCATCCGACTGAAAGGACACATTAGAAATCGGTTTGCTTTCCACATTGGTAGAATTGTTATATTGTCCGTCCACGTCAAATGCGCCTTCTTCTTCTTCTACTTTATTAAATTGATTTGAACTTTTAGAAGATTGTTGTTGCGAATTATAAGACGGATAGTATAGTGACTTTTGATACTGATCGCGGTCATGCACAGAAAATTGCTTGAAGTCATTTTTGAGTGGTTTCTTTATTTGTTGCGGCGCTGTAGGTATCGGGCCATCATAAACTTGCGGATTCAGTTTCAACGTGTCTGAGTATTGATGAGCCTCGATCTCGTATTTCAGTGACGATGGAGTTGAGCCTATATGTGACAGTGAGTTGATTTTATTTGCATTGTAGGTGGTTTCTTCTTTTCCATCTATTGATGACGTGGATTGGGTTCCGTACTGAGGTCTATATTGTCTGTGATGTACGTATAATGATGTGTTAGCCTTCGTTGGATGCGACAACTTTGATAATTCGATATCCTTTAGGGTATAGCCTGTATACGAAGAATCAGTTTTGTTATTGAAATCATATTTCGAGATAGAGTTATATCTGTTTGTATCAAACGAATGAGTCGCAGGATGTTGAATTTTTATCGGTTCTTTATACGAAGGTTTTCTTGTTGGTTTTACTCCGGGTACGTAATCTGGATCACCAGGCCATGGTCCGTCGGGACCTGGGGAACCGGTTGGCCATGGCCCATTAGGACCATCAGGTCCCACACCTCCTTCATCACCAACACCACCAATATCTCCTATACCGCCAACACCACCAATTGGACCTTCATTTCCAATTGGACCCTCAGGTCCTATTGGACCTTCTGGATACGTAGGGTAACCTGGATAACCTACGGAATGTAATTAGAATAATTCAACTAAATAACAATTTATTTGAATCTTATACATATAAATATAAATAGAATATAAATTGTATAATATTTCCAAATATATAAAATTGCAGGGATATTAGTTTTTAAAATGATTTTATAACATACCTGGTTTGCCCGGCTTGAAAGGAAAGCTTGGTCTATTTGGTGTACTGGTAATTCCGGGATGTGATAAATCATCCGGTTTACCTGGCTTCTCAGGATATTCTGGATATCCTGGATACCCTGGATATGACGGCTTTCCTGGTTTTCCTGGAATATCGAATGCTCCTGATATACCGTGAGCACCAGACGTACCAATGATACTAGGAATTTCTATATATCCCGGATACGACGATATTCCTGGTCTTCCTGGAGTTCCGGGTATGCCTGGAGTACCAGGGATGCCAGGAGTTCCTGGATGCCCAGGATATTCCGGCGTTCCTGGATATCCGGGTGTGCCTGGGATACCAGGAAAGCCAGGGGTTCCTGGATGTCCAGGGTATGATGGCGTTCCTGGTTTGCCTGGTGTTTCGGGTGTACCAGGTATACCAGGGATGCCAGGAGTGCCTGGATGTCCAGGATGTGACGGCGTGATTGCAGATATTTCTGGTTTTTCTTGAATATTGATTGTTCCGGGAGGACCAGGAATATCGAGATAACCTGGATGTGGTACTCCAGATGTTTCTGAAGGATTTAATATACCAGGAGTCCCTGCATGTCCAGGATAATGCGATGTTTCCGGTCTTCCTGGTGTACCATGTATGCCTGAAATGCCAGGACTTCCTGGATATTCAGAATGTGATATTCCTGGTTTACTTGGTGTTCCGAATATGATAGATAAGTCTAGTTGTCCAGGATATGAAGACGTTCCCGGCGTTCCTGGTCTTTCTGGTACAGTGGTTATACTAGTAATGCTAGAGATGTCATGAATTTCTGGACGTCCAGGGTACAATGAAATTTCTGGTACGCCTGGTTTTCCAGGTGTGCCAGTAGTACTAGGAGTCCCTGGATGCCCAGGATATGAAGGCGTTCCTGAACTACCAGGTGTTCCTGGATATCCAGGTATGCCAGGGAAGCCAGGTATACCAGGAATTCCTGGATGTCCTGGATATGATGGCGTTCCTGGTTTGCCCGGTCTTCCTGGTGTGCCTGGTATGCCAGGATGTCCTGGATATCCAGGATAAGACGGTGATCCTGGAAGTCCGGGTATGCCCGGTGTACCAGGGATGCCTGGAGTTCCTGGATGACCGGGATAAGACGGTGTTCCTGGATGTCCGGGGTAAGACGGTGATCCTGGATGTCCGGGGTAAGACGGTGATCCTGGTTTTCCTGGTCTTCCTGGTGTACTTGGTATGCCAGGATGTCCAGGATATGACGGTGATCCAGGAAGTCCGGGCGTGCCCGGTGTACCAGGGATGCCAGGAGACCCTGGATGTCCAGGATATGGCGGTGTTCCTGGTTTGCCCGGTGTTCCTGGAATTCCAGGTATGCCTGGAATACCAGGCGTTTCTGGATGACCCGGATAGGACGGTTCCTCTGGATGTCCAGGATATGATGGCGTACCTGGATGTCCAGGATATGATGGAATTTCTGGATGTCCCGGATATGATGGAGTTTCTGGATGTCCCGGATATAACGGCTTCTCTGGATATCCAGGATATGATGGCGTACCTGGATATCCGGGATATGATGGAGTTTCTGGATGTCCAGGGAAGCCAGGAGTTCCTGGATGTCCGGGATGTGACGGCGTTCCTGGTCTGCCTGGTGTTCCTGGGAATCCGGGTGTGCCTGGCGTGCCAGGGAAGCCAGGAGTTCCTGGATGTCCGGGATGTGGAGGCGTTCCTGGAAATCCAGGTGTGCCTGGGGTGCCAGGGAAGCCAGGAGTTCCTGGATGCACAGGACGTGGAGGCGTTCCTGGATATCCAGGTGTGCCTGGAATGCCAGGGAAGCCAGGAGTTCCTGGATGCCCAGGATGTGGAGGCGTTCCTGGAAATCCCGGTGTGCCTGGAATGCCAGGGAAGCCCGGAGCTCCTGGATATCCAGGATGCGGAGGCGTTCCTGGTTTGCCTGGTGTTCCTGGGAATCCGGGTGTGCCTGGCGTGCCAGGGAAGCCAGGAGTTCCTGGATGCCCAGGATGTGGAGGCGTTCCTGGAAATCCTGG